TTGGTAATAAATTAAATATTAAATAATTATTTCCAATAGTGTAATACACAAGACCTATTTTCATTGTAATTAATTATTTTGTCTATAAAATTTTAACTTGATTGATATTTTTCAAAGACATTATATTTAAATATGTTCGAATACACATATTTTAAATTTAAACGTATAAAAAAGATTATGAGTAATTTTTACATCATATTTAAAAATATCTTATTTGAAAATTATTTAAAGGAACAATAATTATTTAAAAAAAAATTATTGGGCTGCAAAAGACAGGAAGCAGATGCAGCATTTTTATCAATCATCATCAATGTTTATAAAAGGGTGTACCAATTCCATGTAGGAGAAATCTGAAAGTTGCTTTTGCTTGAACTGGAAATACAGCGGTCCTATCTAGAGATGCACAGAAGCCGGATTTCAATCCGATCCGGATCGGATAAAAATCGATCCGGTTTTTTCTCCAACCCAATAACCGGATTTTAAAAAAACCAGATCGGATCCTAATCAGTTTGGAGGGCCGGATGGTGTAACCGGTTTCGGTTTGCAAAAAAATCGGATTTTTTTCCGGATAAAAAACCGGTTTTTTATCCGGTTTGAAAAAACCCGGTTTTTAATCTGGTAAAAAAACCGGTCGTTCAATTTTTTCTCAAACTGGTTATACTATCCGATTTTTAAATATCCGATCCGGTTTAAAAAATACCGGTTTTTCCAAAATCCGGTTTCGAATATTTTTTTAGACAAAATAGGATATTCGGTTTTTTTGTGCACCTCTAGTCCTATCACGGATAGGACATCGAATTCGAATATTATGGATAACAAAAATTACAACTTTTGAGATTAATTCTAAATTATCTATAAATTTAATCGACATTTTTACTATTACAGGACAGAGATTAGGAAGATCTATCGATGAAACAAGACATGCTACAATGGTGAAGTGAGCAAGTGGTATAGAGGCGTTTTGTTTATATAAAAGGTGCCTGGCTTGAATTTCATGCAGGGATGGGCACAAAATTTATTAGTGAGGGTAAATTATTAAAATTTTAAGGGGCGAAAATAAAATTTTAATAGAAATATATCTAAAATACGTAGAAGATTTAAATTTCTAGAGGGACGATTATCCTCACCTGTCCCCTCTCGATCTATCTCTGATTTCATGCATGTACCTCTCTAATCTCATGCATGTACCTCTCTAATCATCTACGGTTAATAAATTTGGTTCATTCTTATACTTTTGGTGAAAAGCCGCGATCAATGAAGGACCAATCGTTGACTTGTGCTTGATGGAGTAAGAGAACGGGTTATTATGAGAAAACACAAAGAGGTTGGCTAGTTAGGAATAATCCAATTTTTTTCCTCATTTTTTGTTAGGGTATTTATAATTGTCTTTAATATGTGTGTCAGCCATAAGATTATTATGGCTTTTCGTATGTTGACAGTTTAGATAAATTTAGTAATCTAATTTTAGATTTCGTTCTGATGAATCATGTGTCTGTCAAATGTCTTGTCTATGTACCGTAGCTGACTTGAGAGTTTGTGCTTGAGGAACTCGAGTTTTTATGGGCTCCAACAAACAGAGAAATCTGTTTGAAGATCAATTACTGAAGAACTGTTGGAAGATTCGATGTGGTATGAAGATTGAGAAATTTTTAGAGAATATTTTCGGAGGTATAACAATTATGATAAAATAACGTAACTGGTCAACATGCTTCAACAAGTGTACAGTCAATAGTGCAATAATTTCAATTCTATACGATGGTATACACAATCTGCCTAAAGGGGAAGTTAGCAACAACATAGTATTTTAAGTTACAAATTTAGAGGGATATCTCTAATCTATACAGAGAATACACCATGAGTTCTTAAAGGGAATGACGAACTACTACTATTATTCCTATTGATGGGTAAATGAACATAAACCTCATCAACCTCCTGCTTGTATACTTCTGCCCTATCTCGATTGATCGCATAGAAGACGTCAAAGGTGTCGATCACGTCGTCCAATACATGGACAAAGTAATTCAGCACCATGATCAGCAGCACCCATGCAAGAGCAGCGACGATGCATGCATCGACCCCTAGATCACTAACACCCTGTACGATTACACATACCTGAATGTATGTCATCCTTGCAGATGTGCAGTATGCCTCACCAGTTATGGCTGCGAAGTTGATAGTGAACTTGTTAAGAAAGTCTACAGGCATTAACTAACACAACACCTTAGGACAAGATTTACTATCCCGGGAACATCTTGTCTTGCACTATCAACCGCAGCACGCACCATTCGAACAGCACGGTTGCAAATAAGTTCTTTACAAGAAAACATCACCATTCGAACATCAGGCGGGTACAATCAATAAAATAGTAACTAACTGAAAAATGTTCGGATTTCAGTGACCACCCTAAAGAATGCATGGGTCCATCTCTGCTGGCAAGAATGTAATCTTCGACAATTAACCAATACAATCGGTATTCGAACTTTAAGCATGCCTCCAAAGCATCCGACCAGAAACACACACAAAAACACAAAATTCCAGCTCTAACTTATTTCAGTTACCATCACTTTAAAGTAGAAACTGTTTATATTAATACATTAAGAAAACCAGAACAGAAGTTGCCTCAATGAACTTCTTATACGATCCTTGGGTTTCTTATCATCCTTGGAGAAGTACGATTGAACAATGGTCATAAACTTGAGATTATGAGTGTAAATGAGTAGAGCGTCCGATTAACTGTTCGTGAACCATTTGTATAACATTGGTTTATGTTCATTTATTAAATTAAATAAACGAGTACGAACAAAAATTTTGTGTTCAATTAATAAGCGTACGAACATGAATAATGGTGTATTTGGTTCGTTTATATTCACAAACAACCTCGTTTATTGAATCGTTTATAAGCTCGTTTACCAGGTTCTCCATTTCCTTTTAATTTTCACATTTTAAATATTGGTAAGGATAGTGGCTAAATTGAACATTGGGTAAACTTTAGAGTTTAAAATGTGAAGTTTAAGGAGCTAAAGAACTAATGACATAAGTTCACCATTTTTGAACATATAAATATGTACACTAATGTTAAACAATATTTGTGTATGCTAAACAAATATAATCAAGAACGTTAAACGAATATATTGACGAACAATGAATAAACGGACATGAACACCTTCAAAAATAATTATACTAACAAGAATAAAATATTAAAAATTTAAACGAACATGAACACAAATACCATCAACAAAGCTATCACCAAAAACAATCCTAAATTCATCGACAGTGCATCGGAAGCAACACTGATGATCCCCACGGTCAACTCGATTCGATGCCGATTAGCCACACTGACCCAAACAATAACCCCAACTATTAACAGAATAAAAACAAGCAACGGAATTCTGTAAACCAAGGGGAAAGCATCGTCACAAGCTGAACTCAGAGTACAAGGAACGAACCAATAAACATCAAAGAAGACCGGCATGAGTATAATGAAAGGAAGCAACGCATAAACGAGTTGCTTCGTGTAGTGTTTGAGCAATAAAAGCAAAAGAAAACAAATGGGTACGCTTGAAATCAAAGTTACAACAAGGGTCCAAATTGAAATTAACTACACTTTTTCTGCGAGCTATCAAATTCAAAATCTATCTACGATGTCGGTCCAAAAATGAGCAAAATATGGGCAAATGTTGCCATAATCCAAAATCCATAGCGATCAGCCCAACACGACCTATGATCCAAAGATATAATGAATTTATGATCTCAATTAGGCTTGTTATACCGGCTTTACATAGTCCGGTTAGATTGAGTTTTTGATCAATGTGATTTTGATTTGAGTATTATATAATTCTATTTATCATTCGATCAAATTCGAGTTTAAGTAGATTTTATTTGATAAAAACCTGACTAGATTTTTGCGACAAAAATCTAACTACTCTGATGCTATCAAGACGATTATGAACCTTACCCAGCTCCAGCTCAACAATTTGTCTGATGTCGGTAAAGCTTTTGGTCTCGTTTCCTGCCTCGCCTCCGATCGTTTGCCGACCTCCGTAATTCTCCTTACTTGCTCCATTGAAGGGTTGGTGGGTGACGGTACTCAATGGCTAGTCGTCAGGCGGAAAATTCAACCACTTCCTTATCGGCAGGTAGAAGAACTGTTCTGTTAAGCATTTTATTGAATACTTATGTTGCTACTGTGTACCAGTTTATTTGATTAAAATAATTGTTGTTTCACTATTGAGATCCGATTCCCTACAAAATGGGTCCTCTTCACTGTTTAAAATCTACTGGATTTTCCGCACAAGTTTTATCTTATCAGCAAAAGGGTAAGCTGCACGATTGCTGAGCTTTTATCTTATCAGCAATTGCGTTCAGTTACAGGGGTATGCTTTGGATATATATTGCTGGCAATTAGAACCAAGATAAGTCACCGTCGGATATCGGAAAAAACCTCAACGACGACTTACTGTTACCGTGGTTCGCCATTTTATACTGCCATCAGTGATTCTGGAAGACCATCGAGTGAACTGTTTGATTGGAATTATTAGGATGTTCTTCCAATTCTCCAATCGGAAGGCATCTCATTTGTTGTATTTTTTAAGGGCATTTCCACTTTACTCAAAGGTCCCATTAGTCATATTCTGTTTAGAATTTCAACCAACCATTTTTAATATATTTTCTTCACCACCATTGAGTATTGATTCCATTTTTCCACCGAACAAAGTGCAATAGGCTTCAATGCCAAAAGCGGAGCTCAAAGCTCGAGACGAGAGCCCTTCGCCACCCAATTTCCTCCGTTCACATTACATACAACAAGCTTTTAAGTAATTCCAAAACCCAAAAATGCTAACCCACAAATCACGCAATTTATCTACATATTTTTATATGCCGTCTATTTCATGATTTATGTTGGAGTTCGTAATTTCCTCTCTTAATAATATTGTTTTTTATATTTAAATCTAAATTCTTTCATCAAAAATAAAATCCAACTCGGTGCATTCGAATGAAGAACTAGAAAAACTCAAAATTTTAGGGGGAGGACACACCCTCTACTGTTATATTATACATCGAAACCCTAAGGGGCATAAAACGAAGATGGATCGAGACTACAAGTAGAATTTATGTCATGAAGCCAAAAGACAGACAGCAGTTAATAATGCCATTAGTGCATATTGTAGAATACGTGGAGCTGTTGTTGCTGCTGAATCTCCCATTGCCAACCCGGCTAACCATGACCCATCTGTCAACATTGCTTCACCGGACCCTCCTGGTTCAGTGTTTGAACCCGAACCGGTGTATCCATTTCCGGAGTACGTGTAACTTGAACTCGAATAACCCGAATCATAATATCCGTAACCGTTATCTGAATAAGTTATCGCGCGTTCTGACCCTGATCCTTGCGATGTTGAGCCTGTCATTGGGGTAGTTTCTGTAACTGGTGTAGATTTTTGACTGCAACATAATGCCAGTAACAATTAGTTAATTACTATTGCTGTAAATATACAATCTTTTGTAAGATTCATCGATCGGAGGATTAAATGATTCTCGTCGAATTAAATTTTTAAATGAAAATAACATTCGAATTAAACATGAAGTGGCATGATAGTGGATTATTACCTGGGAGAAGAGGGACAAAACGTCACCGTATAGTCAGCTCCGGTACAGGTGAAAGTGCTCGTGGCATCATCGTACGCATAGCTGTAAGATCTGGGACAAGCGGCCTTAAACATCTCAGAATAAATCGATGGCTTGCACGTGGCGGGTGTGCTGTACGCGCCGCTACAACAATATTCCGGGCTTCCAAACGCCTCGCACGCGCTCTTGCAAGCGTCACCGTCGCCGACTCGGAGTTCCGACGGGCATTGCCGGTTCAAGTCGGTCGTACACCCAGTAGAAGAACAAAGACCCGACCCGCCACTTCCTTCGACGATCATCGGCATATTGTAGCCGTCAACGAGGCTGACGTCGTAAAAATCTTGCCCTCCTGTACCGAGAGTGAACTCAGCCAGAGTTACGGGCGGAGCAGCGCCGAGTCCGTTGCATTCCACCTGACCCGACCCGCAGTCGCCTGTTACGCAGGTCCCGGAACCGGATCCGTCGAATTTACAGCCCGTTCGGCCCCAGAAACGACCCGACCAACCCGTCGGGCCTTGAAACGAACGGGACGAGTCTTTGGGAAGCTCGAAGCCGGTGCTGCCGAGTCCAGGACTCCCTGCATTTGCTAAAATCCCAGGCCAAACAGTGTAATCACATCGGTTGACAAACGTGAAAGAAGCACCATTAACACCTGATAAAAAAACACACAAAAAAGATTGGATTTTTAAGTTTAAAGAACAAATCTTTCTAAAATTGTAGAAGTGAGAGAAACCCAGAACAGATTGAGCTAGATTTTAACCTTTCGGGGTCACGAGCAAGACAATGAGAGCTAATGAGCTAATGAAGTGAAGATCCATGAGGTTTATAGTGCTTATTTTTTCCACCTTCCTCAGTTATCTAGCTGAAGCTTAAAAGATAGATAAATGGAGCTGTGTGAACGTCAAGTGTTGGTGTTATGGGTTCAGAAAACGGGCAAAGGTACAATAATGGCGGAACAGAAGACAATTCAGGGGAGGCTTTGCTGTGAGCCCATGACCCTGGCCCTCCCAGTGGTGAATCCGAGTGAAGAGAGTGAGTTAAATCGCCCAAAAACCGACAGAAGTGGAATAATGGGAGATAGGTGAGAGGTCACTGAGCTGGGGTCTAATCAGTGTCTGCTGATGCTGTAAATATAATACTACTCGCTGCTTCATTCCTATCTTTGATTTTTCTTGATTATTTAATTCTTTACTTTATAACCGGAAAAAAAACATTGTTTGATAGGAGTGGCAACTTGCAAAGCTGGAGATGGAAGTACCAAGCCATGCTTTGGGAAAATTAACATGAGGACCTTTGAAAAATCAAAACATTTTATTTTTCCCCTTTTAGGATATTGGAATTTCGTATTTGTTTCCCTAGAATTGTTAAACTTTTACATTAATATTTATTTTTATATATTTGTAAGTTAAATTAACTTCATACTTTTAACATCTAAATTATATATATAATTTAAATTATTATAAATATAAATATTAAATATGTGAATTTAAATTTATTTTTTGAAAAATACTACCTTCTCTTACATGATATTTTAGAAATTTTTAGACTCGTGCTTTCATTTATAAATAAAGATAAGAGAGACAGAAACATATGATTTTCAATTAATATAAGATATAATTTCTGCGTGTATACAATTTCTCGCAAACATTGAGCAAAGTGATGTTCTTTTGTAAGAACATGATACTGTTTTAAACATCATTGTCATCATTCATGAGGTTGGAAACCATAGGATTACAGGCAAAGCCGCCAAATTAATTGCATCTAATCCCTAAAACTAATTGGGTTGTTAATAATTCTGGTTTCCTCTTGTTCATGGATTCATCTGGTAAAAACAAGAGTGAAAAAGGGGGTATAAAGTGAACTTTTCAAAGAATATGTGAGAAGCAGGTAAGATTTGCAGGGACCAATTATGAATTTTCCCGACACATGGGGTCGATTTGTCCTACACGCATGTGGTGATACAGTTTAAACACTTATGCTTGAATTGATTGGATGGTCTTCAACTGAGTATTACAAGATGATGCTTGAAAATCCAACACGAATTTCTTTTTTGAACTTATAGATTTCTGAGTACCAGTTTAAGAAAAGTTATGAAGTTTAGGGGGCAATAGATATATTAAGCCTATCTAATTCTCCTAAATTCAATTCGGGTTACGGGTCCAGGAAGTAAACTCGGCCATTGAAGCCTCAAAAGAAAAAATAAATTGTCAAACGATTCGCGAACTCAGTCTATGGTTTTCGGGTTACCTTGGCCTGAACTCAACGACGGCATATTCTACAACGACGTCGTTCCGCATTCCGATTCCGGTCATTCCAAAACCTTATTTATGTGATAATTGTTGACTGAGTATTTTCATTTTCCTCCTTTTTTTATATATATATGTTTATTAGGCTTACTTTAGTAGAATTTTACTCAAGGAAGTACAAACATTCAGCTTCTTTACAAGGGTAATTGTTTTAATTCCTTGTGTAGGAACCTTCTTTTGGTTAGACCCCGGAATTAGGTTTCGACGTGAATGAATTGAGTTAGAGTCGTCACCGACCACTTTAAAACAAATTTAGGTGGATCGGACACTATCTTACCTGATATGCGTTGTACCAGAAACGTGTCGGGTTCGGGAGTCGGTTACGGTCAAGGAAGGATTAGCACCCTTTAACCGCCCTTTCGGTACAAATTAATTTTACGATTGTCTTTAATTGTGAAAATTGAAATTAAAATTTAAAAACCCGATTGAAATTATTTACATTCGGTTGAAATTACTACCGAAGAAAAAATAAACAAAATGATATTCTCAGGTATACTTCACTAGGGATTTACCGTGATGCTATTCAGTTTTCTACCATTTTGTGTTGATGGCATTATCAAGTCTAAATATTGGAAGCTTTCCGGGATTATTCTATGGGTTTTAGGACTTTACAGCATTCTTGGTCACAAAGAATTCAGGTTTGTCCTCCCTGTCCTTCCCATAAGTTTGATATTTGCCGGATACTCACTAGCTTCACTTGAAGATCGTAGTTCTCCAAATGTTGAAAGGAAAAGATCTTCATGCATTTGCAATAAATGGTCTTCCAGAAAGCATCTTGCCATCTTCTTCTTCTTGCAAGCAATATTCCAATGGCCCTGTATATGAGTTTGGTTCATCAGAGAGGAACCGAGGTTGCGATGAACTATCTATCTAAAGAAGCTGCAAATGAGAAGGTGAAAAGTATCCTTTTCCTAATGCCTTGCCATGCCACACCCTACTATTCCACTCTGCATTACAACCTGCCAATGCGTTTTCTAGACCCATGCAATCAAAAGGTTCCATGAACTATCATATACGATTCTTTATCTAAATTACTATCATATACGATCCTTTATCTAAATTAAGAGGGATAAACCGTCAAAAACTATCTCAACTTCATTTCTCGTGTCAACAAATGGTAAGGATTCATGGCTGTGGGCTTGAATCCCAGCAACCAACCTGAAGAAGTATAACTTTGTCCGACTTGGGCAAGACCATCTTGAACTCGAATCAAGATAAATAGAATAATTCTCAAGTTAGATTAAATTAGCCGAAAACCTAACATGTTCCATTCATAGATTTTTTTTAAACAACTTATAAAATATTACAGGTAATACTAAACAAAATATCAATAATACAAATATATCCAAAACGATAGAGTAATACATGTCACCAAATACAACTGAAAAACATATAGAGATATAAGTTCATACAAAATAAGAAATTGATTTCCCCTGATGTCAAATTTGCTAGCTTACAGTGTTTAACACATACATAACAAAATAATTCAAATAAGATAAAACAATTTATTAAATATATTTTAATAATATGCACACTATCCCCATCCAATCACCAAAATGTGTAGGTTCACCTGAACCGTACACCACCTATACACCAGTAAGGCTTAATCTTTGCACAAAGCAGAGGAGCCTAGGAAAACTGTAAGGTTTATCCTTGCACACAGTAAATGGACCTGGGAAACTGTAAGGTTTACCTTCGCATACAGTAAAGAGACTTGGTAATACTTCCTTTAATTGTACCCCCAATGACAAAAATAAACATGTATGCATTGGAGTAAAAACGATAATTAATCCATTAAATATGGAAATGTTTTATATTTAGAAATCATGTATAAAAATACTATAACTATAAACCATATAAAAAAATTATACGGTAAATTAGACATTAAATAAACCTTATTCAAAATACCAGATATTTCCTCAAAAAATATATTATATTCTCATAATATAAACCAATTCAGATATATAGTTTAAAAATGTAAGATAACACTGTCAGGAAGCACACCTGTAACAGTATGAGAAATCAGATAAGGAAGCCTACTAATGTGTCTGTCGATCACGCTTTGCTGCAGCGCTAGATCCTACGAATTGGAAAAATCCATATTGGAATCCTAATATAAATAATCTTAATCTTTATTTAAATAATATACGGAAACCTACGGGTAATTATTGTAGTACGCGATTCGGGTTGATCTGACGAACGGACAATTTCGGGCCTAAGTGATCCTCGCTTAGGTGAAACACGAGTACCTTTATAAAATATTTTATTGAATCAATTCCCTAACCAAATCTCAAATAAATAATTAAAATATTAAAATACTAAGCCTTTTGGGTTCACATGCTCGATTCAGGGATTTCGGGTCAAAATTTGACAAAACGGACTTCGGAATCAGATTCAGAACGTCGAAAAACATAAAGTATGACCTTACGAAATTCTGAATTCTTGGTCAAAATCAAAGTCAACGGGTTTGACTGACTATTAGGAGACTTTCAGATTCGAATTTGGTGAAACGGACCCCAAAAACAGATTCGGGATGTCAAAAAATGTCAGGATATGTATTTTCGGAAAAGATTAACGGCCGTTTAATAGTCGGTCAAAGTTCTAGTCAAAGGAGGTCAACAAACTGTCAACCATTTTACAGAAATAACATAATTTTTAAATTAATTTCTAAAATAGCATCGGTCAACGGTCGGGTCGGGTCAGAACCTTTAAAAACCGGTCAAACCGGTTATTTTTGTCTTCCTCACGTGTAGTGACGACGCGTGGGGGCACATGCGGCGTCTATAAGTGTCGGAAAATTTATAGAAAAATTTCAAAAAATTATTTTGAGCGATTTCGAGATACTTACAAAGCTCGGTTCAAAATTTTGAACGGCGGAGAGCTCGATTTCAACAAATCGAAAACTTTTACCGCTTCACCTCCCCACGCGCCGTCGTCGACGGAGACCAAGGATGACACCGGCGGACGCGGAACGGCACAAGGAACACGATGGTGCAGGAGGTGTCGTAAACGGAGCAACGATCGGCGATGAATTTAAGATTTTCTCGGCGATTGAGCTAAAAAAACGTCGAGACTTTGACTTGAAATTCACGGCGTTTGGCAGCATTTCACTTCAATTAATTTAAGATTTCATCGCTCGATGGTGAATACGATGGTGGTTTCAAAACGACGATCGGAATTCAGACGATACCGGAATTGGGTTTGGAAGGAGAGGTTGGTGGGGAGGAATTTTAGCAAATTATGCTTATGAATTCCCCCGCAAATCTGATTTAAAATATTTAATAGAGTGTCTGCCGACACTTTTTTGATTAAATTCAGGGCTTAGTCTCTGAATTTCCTTAAACTCTACAACAACCTACAAATTTTGAAAACTTTCAATTTAGTCTCCAATTTTTCATCAATTACACAATTAAATCCTTAAATTTCAATTAAATATTTTTTTTAAATTTCCAGGTTGTTACAATTCTCCCCCTCTACAAGAAATTTCGTCCTCGAAATTTACTTTATGAAAATAGATGAGGAAATTGAGCCTCCATTGACTCCAACGTCTCCCAAGTATCTTATGATGGGCTACGATAACTCCACTGAACTTTGACCATTAGAATACGCCTATTCCGAAGAACTCGCTCATCGCTCTCTAAAACCTGAATAAGCTCTTCCTCATATGACAAATCAGGTCTCAGCTCTACCTCGTCAACCTGAATAGGCTCTTCCTCATATGACAAATCAGGTCTCGCTCATCGCTCATCGCCTTTTCTATCGACACATTATCTGACCATTGGTGACCGATCAACGGGGTCGAAGGATGCTGTTTAAGGCTTAAAACCCAGAATTAATCAGCTTAGAGCAGAGCTTTTACAGGCTTTACTTGTAGTGGCATAGCATGCACCTAATTGGTAATCACTGATGGATTATGCATGCAATGTGGAAGCCACAGAAGTTTAAAGCTATATACCTGATGGCCACACTTTATGTGATGACACTGACACTCCCATCGGCGGTAGCCGTTTATTGGGCGTTCGGAGACACGCTTCTCGATCACTCAAATGCTTTCTCGCTTCTCCCGAGAAATCCCTTCAGAGACATGGCCGTCATTTTAATGCTCATCCACCAGGCATGCCCATGAATCCCTTCTATCATGTGTCACCACTCTGATCGGTCTGTTGGATCGTGTCGTGGACGTGTTTATGTCACGGTCCGGCGAATTAAATAGGATCATTACACTATATGGTTAATATGTTCATGTTTGTGATGTGTTGCAGTTTATAACGTTTGGATTTGCATGCACTCCACTGTACTTTGTATGGGAGAAAACAATTGGGATGCATGAGTGCAAGAGCTTATGCAAGAGAGCGGCAGCGAGGTTGCCGGTGGTGATTCCTTTTTGGTTTTTGGCCATCATTTTCCCGTTCTTCGGACCAATTAACTCCACTGTCGGATCCCTCCTTGTTAGCTTCACTGTCTACATCATCCCTGCACTTGCCCACATTTTAACCTTTAGATCAGCCACTGCCCGCGAGGTATTAAAACATCTCATGCCGGTCACGATCTGAGTCTTGTGAATGAAAAAACAGTACTAATTGGAACCCTTTGTGATATTGAGTCATTGATTTTATTTGGTTTTTGAACACGTTCCTAATGGTACCTGGTTCCCTATATCTTGGGGTACTATGCTGTGATGCAGAATGCGGTGGACCAACCGCCTAAGTACTTCGGAAGATGGGTGGGGACGTTCACGATAAACGTTTTCATCGTGGTGTGGGTCCTGATTGTCGGGTTCGGATTCGGTGGGTGGGCAAGCATGATCAATTTCGTAGACCAGATCGACACATTTGGACTGTTCACGAAGTGTTATCAATGTCCAGCACCAGCAGTGGCAGCTTCTTCACCACCATCGTCTCAAGGCCTCAAGGCCACCGCGGCTGCTCCTCTACACCACCACCCATTCAACCACACTCGTCACCCCTGATTTACGCCACAGCCGGATCGAATATGTCGTTTGTCACGGTTGCACGCTTTGGTTAATCTTTGTTACTTTAGGAGTGACAGAGAAGACTAAATTAGTTGGCTAGAGCAATTAAATTGCTGTAAACACACAATGCCATCCAATTTTAGTATTTCTCTGTCGTTTTTTTTCCTTCAAAATTTAGCTTAGGGAGTTTGTAATGCATTTCACAAGATAACCAAAAATGAAGTAACAAAGTTTGAATGCAAATGTGAACATCTTATATTATATTTTTAAAATCAAAACCGAATTGAATTGAATTTAAGATAAAATCATCTATACAGAATTAATTTAAGGACCAATTTTGAATAAAAATTATAGTGTAAGGATCTCCTAGTAATTAACTCGATTCAAAAAGTACAGGGAAAATGTACTTAGTCACTCACGGTTTTGTTTTGATTAATGAATTAAATTTTATTTTTAGAATCATATTTAATCTCATGTATTAGTTTTGTTTTGATTATCAGTTGTTAAAAATTAATGATGATGTTGTCGTGTTATTATAAGATATTGTCACATCCTCATTAAAAAAATAAAAGAATTATAACATTAATAATTCTATTTATTTTTTAATAATAGGCGACCAAAATAGAATAAAATACAATATTAGATATAATTTTAAAAAAATAGATGATCAAAGCGGAAATATAAGAATAGGTAAATGACTAAATAACGTAGTTTAACCAAAGGACTCTTTCCCGCTCAAAACGTCGACGCTCCATATCCATTTTTTTCACCTCATCCAAATCCAAGCCGTCCGATCATTTCCAGAGTAGCCATTGGTTTCATCCCTGAACCTGGCACGCTGTCACACACCATTTGTATTGCTCTTTACTATGTTCTGCAATATAAAACTCCACACCACTCTCTCTTTCTTTGGCATCATTCGTTTTGGCCTTCTGGGGTTAGTGTTTTTAGGGTCTGGGTTTTGGAAAAGAAGGGAGTTGGGGGAGAGTAGGATGATCGGGACGGTGAAGTGGTTCAATGATCAAAAGGGATTTGGGTTCATTACTCGTGAGGATGGTGGCGAAGATGTTTCTGTCCACCAGTCTTCGATACGTTCCGTTCCGAGGGTTTCCGTATCCTTGCCGATAGTGAGGAGGTCGAGTTCGGTATCGAGTCTTCTGAAGGTCGCACCAAGGCTGTTGACGTTACTGGCCCGAACGGCAATCCTGTTCGTGGCAACTCGATATCCGTATGCGGTGGCGTAGGTGAGTACAGGGGTGGAGGGTGTTTTAAGTGTGGTGAGGTGGGACATTTGGCAAGGGATTGTGGAGAAGGTGGCAGATATGTTGGTAGTTACGGTGGCTTGGCTTGTTACACCTGTGGTGTCTCCGGTCACTTTGCTCGGGATTGTCCGGACAGTAAGCGTGAGGTGAACAAGTTTTGAACTTGAATGTTTTCCTGCTAGTAGCTTTCTTTGTTGTTGTAAGATAAATCCTGTTGGTCAGTTAGCTGAGAACTTGATATATGTAATTTACTTGTTTTTAATAATAAAATAAGTCAAACAGGTCTACATCGAATCCTGCATTTGCGATTAGAACAAAATAAGTGAGAACGTCATATTTGTTTTGTAATATTCGATTTGAATTAATTGGTTATACTAAATAAATAATAAATTAAATTAAATTAAAATATTTGTTTTGTATTTACGATTGATGGTGATCTTTCAATAGTTTGATCCACTGTGGTTTATTTACCGATATAGTTAAATTTGTTCATATCTACGTTTTATACGAATTTTTTAGATGAACTATTTAACCTTTTTTTTCTAAATGATCAAATCTTAAGTGATTAGTTTTATGCATTAATTATAATAAGAATATGTCCTAATCATATTTTAATTATTGATTTAATTATTACTTCTTAATAAAATTATCAGCTTTTATTTACATAAAAAAATTGTACGTGAGTAATTGTTTAAAATCGACGCAGCGGCCGTTGTTGTATATTATTATGCTTTAAAATATTTATTGATGAATGTATATTATTGTTTGTGTTTATCTTGTTGTATTTTGTTAATAATCGGAAGGGAAAATTTATCAAGCAAGATGATGTTGACGGAGATGAAAGAAGAGATTGTAAATTTGCACGGATGAAGAGAGTAGTTTACAAGAAAACGTGATCAACATAACCCTTCAACCCTGGCGTGTGTGAGGCCGACGCAAGGATCGACGAAATCCTCGTCGATGAAATCTGTAGAGAAAACCTGCAACCGATCGGCGCAACCCTTTGCAAAACACTGAGTAATGAACAGCCTAGCATATCCATGTATCCGTGTAGTCACCGGTCTAACGCATACTACGGGGTTATCCGGCTGCGGTGTCACCGTGTTCTCCACCCTGTAAAAGAATTTCCTCGACGTAACCGGCTGTTGCTCGCTCAAATGCTTCAAATTGCTATCGAACTTGGTCGACGGCAAGTCCGTGTCGATCCAATTGTCCTTCAGATGAGTAGCGTTCCAGAACGCTGACCCTGGGTCCGGACGAGGAGCCTTTCTTGGTTTCCACACACAGATAATCCTCTTCGGTAGCAATTCAGCAATCGTTTTCTCGAACACATGATCATCCTGGTGAATCAAGAACTCGCCGAGATTTTCCTGCAGGTACTGTTCGAAATCCGGCGGATCCTGGTGCCCGAACTCGGTCCTGATCTCGAGGATTATAATCTCGGACTCTGTCTCGGACAAGAACTTCTTGATGTCGTTGATGACAACATCGACGTTGTACGTCGTTAGGATCCCATGGCAGACGAGACGGTTCTCGTTAACGCGAATGTCCAACACCCTGTTCCCCATAACAAGCTGTTGGTAAATAGACAAGGATTGGCATTGCGCGAAAGGTCGCGTGATGAACGGAATCCCGATCTTGTTGGTGGCGGAATCGTGCGTTCCCGGCCATACAATCTTGTTTACATGAACTTTCTCCGGACCAAGACCAGCCATCCAATTCTTCCTATCGGTTGGACAATACTCGCTTCCGGGGAACGTCTGGCCGTAAGTAGCGTGAAGCTCGCAAAGGGTCTTCTTCTCCGTCTTGATTACCTTTCTCCTTTGCACTTGTTTATACAACATAGACCCCATTTGTTATCAATAAATCAAACAAAGAAAGAAGAAGGAAGAAGAAGAAGAAGAAGAAGAAGGAAGCTTCTTCTTCTTCTGTTTCGACCTGTGACTTAAAAGGGTTCCTTTATGGGGTTGAATATATAGCATTGTAACGTCTCAATAATTCGTTTATGCTCTACGTGACAGAATCAAACTTGGTCTAGTCGGGTTTGATTTAATTATTTGATTTGGTTTTCTTAATTGATTTTTAATCGATTACATCCCTGCTATTCCTACAAGTGTGTGGTTCTCCAACATTGTATACAACTCTGGTTGGGTTTCGGACTTCTTTTTGTTAAATCCATGAGTTAAATGTGGGTTCCGTTGGACAAAAAGGTGCACTTGGCGATACAAAATTCCAATTCCTTTTGTCTATCATTTACGTTGGAAAGGGTGTTTTTAAGAGAGCGTAATTGAGGGACTGAAACCATAATCTAACCTTGTTAATGCTTTCACATTACACAAAATTCTTGCTAAGCTTAAGCTTTAATGCAATTTACTCCTCAATGATCAATGATTAGCTACAAAAAGATAGATTTTACTAAAATCCAAATGATGATCAATGGAGCTCCAAGAATTAGGGACCCGATGGGTAATTATATAGCTTAATTGAATAACGTGGAGCACATAATTAATGGATACCCAGTGGCCTATCATCTGTAAATTTTAAATTCGAAGATTTACTTGGATGCATTTTTTGTAGGGGTTTAATTGAAGTCTAAAATTTTTAATTTAGTCCAAAATGGTAAACTTGATAACTTAAACAAATATACTATCAAATCAAGTTTATCATAATGTAGCATGTCTGAGTTCTCAAATATATAAGGTCTTAAATTAACGACAGTGACGGTACACATCATTAAACTATGATTTTATTTTATCCTAATCAACAGGTTAAAGTCCAACTCAGACGACCGTCAATATTTTAACGGAAAATGACGAGTTTGAAACATATGAATAGTCGAGTGATAATTTTGCAACTTTTAATAGCCGGGGACTCAACAAAACAACATCATATAGTCGAGGGATCATTTTGTAACTTTTAATAGTAAGAGAATTCAACAAAATAGTGCCCCATAGTCATAGGACCATTTATGTACTTTACCCTTTATTTTTTAAAAATTAACTTAAACAAAATTTGAATTTTTTTAAATTCGAGTTAATAAAATATAATTTGTCTAACTCGACTAACTCAAAATTTATTTACTTGATTTGATAAAACTTCGTCACTACTACTTGTCATTCGACCCAACAGATAATGATAAGAAATCAATAACACTACCATTGGTAATTTGGAACAAGGGAATAAGTTGAATATATTGATACCATATCTGGGTATGTGAGCAAGAAATGACAAAATCAGATGCATACAAAGATCTAAAATGCAGAATGGGAGAGCTTGATCCAGTTAGTCTCTGCTTTTCATAAAGATTTTACTTTGCCTGAACATACTTTGTTGATCAGAGCTCAACCTGAAATAGGATTGGGTAAACCATGGAAACATCAAATGGAATCAGTTGTGTGCATAAGATAATGGAGCATGAAGAAAGATTAACACATCAAAGTTCACCATTTTTTGTTCAATAAACACCTGTATGAAAAATTGCCTACAAGGAAGCATGAAAATCTAGCATTTTGAACAAAACCTCAAAGATTATAAATGAAATTTGAAAGATTCAACTCTATAGAATCGGCTTGCCCCCGATACGAGAAGGGTTACGGGAAAAAATGATACAACACTAGATGCGGGTCTCCAACAAAACAACTCAGCAAAGATGACAATAGTTAACTTCCGCTTTCAAACTCGAGCAATGAAACAGCTTCATCCATCTGACGGGCTAACTGATCCAAGGTCGAGTATATTGCTCCTTTCAAAGGGTGCAAGCAATCTGATACGGTGAAAGCATGCACTTTACTTTCATGTTCTATCCAACTAAGAGCTACCTCTTTCTTGACTTGTCTCTTATTCATAAGGTGTCTCACTTTCTCGACTGATTCCCACTTCCCTAGTGCACTATATATACTTGAAAGTAATACATATGCTGCAGAAGACTGGGGCTGTAACTCAATAAGTTGTTCGGCTGTTTTTCTCCCCAATTCTATATTTCCATGGATTCTAGAAACACCAAGTAATGCATTCCAAACACGGCTATCAGGCGTACAAGGCATCTTCTCTACATGGTTCATCAATAAGTCAAAACGACCGGCTCGACCCAAGAGATCAATTAAGCATGCATAATGATGTTGATCTGGAATTATGCCATGATCAGAAGACATGGATTCAAAAATCCTAAGCCCTTCTTCAACAAGACCAGAGTGGCTACATGCATTGACGATGACAACAAAAGTGGTCTCATCTGGCTTCATCCCTTGCTTTACCATGTCACAAAACATTCTTATTGCCTCTTCACCGTGTCCATGCTGTGCCAACGCAGAAATCATTGTGTTCCACAATACAGGATCCTCCTTATCACTTGTAAGATAAAAAATCTGTTTGCCAACATTAAGATTGCCGCATTTGGAATACATATCAATGAGGGAACTTATGACTATCATGTTTGGTCTGAAACTAGTTCGTATCAAACAGGCATGTATTTGTTTACCATGAGCAAGTGAAGCTACACTAGCACAAGCGCAAAGGCAACTACTAAAGGTAAACTGATCAGGTCTAACTCGAGACACCATCATCCTTGTAAACAATTCAAGTGCCTTATTCCCCATACCATTTCTAACATAACCCGAAATCAAAGCTGTCCAAGAAACCGGATTTTTCTCAGGCATTTGATCAAACAAATCATTTGCTGATTCCATATCTCCCCATTGAGCATACCCTGAAATCAAACTGGTCCAAACAAGAACATCTCTCACTTTTATCTCATCAAACACCTTCCTAGCATCCCCTATCATCCCACATTTCACATAACCATCAACGAGAGAGCTCGAAATCACCAAATTTGACAAAAAACCAGTAACAAAAACCTGACCATGAACCTGCCTGGTAAGTTGCAATTCCCTCGACTTAACACAAACAGTCAAAACACCAGCAAAACTAAACTCATTGTATCCGATACACAGACTCCTCAACTCCTTATAAAATCTCAGCGCTTCCACAAAATGCCCGCCTTTTGCATAAGCAATAGCCATCGTGTTCCACGAAATGACATCTCTCTCGAGCATTTGATCGAACAACTGCCTAGCAGGCTTTATCATGCCCAATTTAGCATACCCAGATAGCATATTGTTAAAAGAATATAAATTTCTAGCACCCATTTCATCGAACACTTTGCAAGCACCAATATAATCGCCGCAACTAGAATACATATTGATCAAATGATTGGATAAAAAAGTGCCGGCCTTTTTGAGCCCGGTTAGTTTCAAATGAAGGTGTAGGAATTTGCCTTCTTTGAGAGATTTGGTTTCCGCGCATTTTCGCAAGAGAGAAGCAAGGGTTCGAAAGGGTAAGTGAATTCCCTTTCTTGTTAAGAGCTCGAGAGAAAAGATTGCTTGAGAAAGGTGGGCTTTTGAAGTGATGTTGAGATAGGGTTTCACAAGACATGGGTTTTTTCTGAAGAAGCGGCCACTGCGATTAGAACGAAGTGGGGGAGAAAGTGAGGGCATTGGAGAGAGAAACCATGTGAGAATTTGGAAAGGGGAAAAATAGGTATTTTGTTCTTCATGTCAGCTTAGCTCCGACGACACATTGCATTCCCGGCTGCGGTAATGGCGTTGGTCGCTGGTTTGATGGGCCATATTTGAGGGGTCTGGGTCCATTTCCAGATCCTGGTTCTTAGCGAGAAAAGATATTGTCTACCCTAAACCCAAATTTATCAAATGTGGATATAATTCTTTATATATTTAGTGATACTTTTAATAACGAATTCCTAATATGCATGTATATATGTTTCGAGTCATTAAATTATGTACAAATTTTTATTAAGAATCATATTTAAATTAATTCATCAATAAATAAGATATTCATGATTAATAAAAAATGACGGAGATGAAAACTGAGTAATCCAACGTTGAAACCAAAAGTACATGGAAATTTAAAATCATAATTTGACCAAATTGGAGAAGGCAAAAAGTTCAGGCAAATGTTAGTGAACGACGGTAACATTGTGGTCAACTATAGCATCGCCGAGTTCATTGAACCAATGAGTTTTCGCCAATGCATATCCTCGAGCCAGCCAGAAAAGTCCTGTTCCGCAGACGACCTGCATCTCCCGAACCGGACTCATAGCCGAGTTCTTCCCCAAAATGCTTATGGAGCTACCATTGTACATCCCATCAGTGAAGCAAAAGCTTATGGCCATCACCAGGGCCAACTCGTCCTTCCCTGCCGAGCCGTAAACTCCTTGCGCTCGACCGAGCAGCTTCGAGTTAGGGTCTGATGTCTTGGTCAGCGGATCATCCGCCATTAACAAGGCTCCGAAATGAGTCGGAGACTTTTCGGTGCCGGCCGCTTGAGCGACCTTGATGGCGCTTGGGTTTTCGCTGCTGATTGTGTCGTGGAAGTAGAACTGGAGATTGGTTACCGTCTCTTGTTTGGTCTCGATGTGTCGTTGCCCAACTCTGTCACCTAATTCTTTGCTATGGTCAATTGGTCATCCGCAGTGCTAAGAACCATAATATTAAACACGTAAATCTTTAATTAATTTAAATACATTTTTGAAAAATAATTTTTTTTTTAAAAATAATATCAAACTTTCAATATTTTTATATACATTTGTGAATTGAATTTGAATGCTCATTTAATGTCATCTAAAACTCTTTTTTTTAATGAATATGAGGCCGTAGCCATCTCATTAGACTCGTTTTAGGCGAGCATAAGAAGGTCCGACAATATCTCCAAGTACTAAACTAAGAAGGGAATCCGGCGATCTAAGAAAATAGCAAGAGAACCATCCATGTGAGTATTAAATTTCTCCATAAGATCAACAGGCATATTTGCTTCCGGACAAGGGTGAAATCCACAGCCCAAGCTTTAGCTAGAAGAGATGAGATGGCTCTAACCAAAACATGGGCAGTGAGCAATCGATGGATATCGACGTTATCAACTTGAACTTTCAATCTTTCATAGCCTTGGTTCCAAGCAAAGTTGAGGCCTTCATGCACACCCCAAAGTTGAACTTTTGAAAGAGTTGGAACTTTCAATCTTTCATAGCCTTGGTTCGAAATAAAGTTGAAATTTTAATCTTTCATAGCTTTTTTTTAATAAGATTTTATTGTTTAGACGAGTTTTCAGAAAATTTTCAAATATTATATTATCTTTTAAATAATATTTTATCGAGATTGTTCTTTAAAATTTATATTTTTTTAGTTTTTGACAAGATTTTTAATAAAATTAAATATGATAGTTGACAATTATATATGTATATTTTGTTAGTCTACTAGCAAGCATTATTACCCTGTATTTGATATCCACTATTAAGATCGTTACAAGTATCTTTCAACTACAATCGAGAGAAAATTATCTCCACTTTCTTTATATTCTTCCTCATATTTTTATTTATTTCATAAAAAATACCAATCAACAACTATTATCTCATCCATCACAATGCTGCATATAAACCAAATGAATAAACCACCCATGATTGAATTATTCCCATCAACATTCAGCAATTTACTGTATTTGCAACTTACGAATGGGTACTAATATTTGAGTACATTTTACGAACGCAAGTGGATAGAGGTGGGCGTGGCAGGGCTAGAACAAGAGGGCCGGGCGGAGGGGCCTAATGTTATATGTTAGAATACGAATATGATTTTCGCCTCTCGCATTTGCGTTTGTCCAAAGAGAGGAAACCAACAGAGGGTCACCGAATCACCAGGCTCCGTTGGATCTGCTGACCGTACACATGGAATCTTAAAAAAATAAAACAAACAAACAAACAAACGTTCCCCGCAAAAAAACTGACAGACCCCATTACAAAACGCTCAAGTCCCAATGCTCCTTAGCTGTCCACTCATTCACGTAACCATCGTCCTCGTCACCATCCAATTAGCAGCATTCCTTCTGGATCCAACTCGACTTTTCTGCTCCGTACATTTAATCACATAGCCTTCAAATTTTCATTCACAAAAATAGTTTAGGCTTTTTATATCATTTCACAAATTCCCAAAAATTCTGGGTCTATTATAATAAATATTATTTTGAAAAGAAGATAATAATTTTATGTCTTATGTTATTATAATAATATTTTGATTATATGATATTATATTAAAGCTATTTAAATTGAATTCAACATTAAAATATTAATTAGAGTGATTAACATAATATTATTTTAATTAAGTTGAAATATTAATTTTAACAACAAATAACTTAAAATACTATTATATTCAATAAATGAGAATTAATTCGCGCTTGTTCCAATTTGATGTAATCATAATTAAAAAACATGTTGAAGAGATTGTTTGTGCAATTAAATTACTTGTAAATAGAAATAAAATATCATTTTCAGCTTCACCTACTAAAACCGGATGCATGCATAATTCGTACATGCGCGTGTTTTCCCTTTTGGCCTCTTTTTCCACTTACCCAGCTGCCGGTCACCTTAAGTTAATTCCGCAAACAAGGTTTACCGGTTGAGCCGGTTACGTTGCTAGCGTCATCAATCAAGTGGGATATTTCCCTATTTTTTAAAATTAAAATATACTAATACTTTATACTTTCTAGTACTATATATTTCCATTGTCACTCTCCAAGCTGAGCTTATTTCTTCTAATTTTTTCCTTTCGTTTTCTGAATCCTTGAAACCGTAGAACAGGTTAGTTTTCGTTTCGTTTCTTTTTTTTTCATTTTTATATGATTTTGCGATGAAAATATTGACATATCTGAGTCACGCAGAACTGTTTTATGATCTTAAAATGCTCATTATTCTGGCCTTTCGTTAATCCTAAATGTGTAGTGAGATTTGATTATTTTTTTAGATTTTTTTTTTGTTAATTGTTGCGCGGAATGATGTGTGTTGATACGTACTAAAATTTTCTGTTTGTTCGAGGAATTTTCTGGCGTTGTTAGTTTTTATCTCTTAATTGAATTGTTAGGTAATGAGCTGATTCTCTTAGTTATAAGCTGCAATTTAGACATGCAATTAAGTGTTTAATATTTAAATCCTTCTTTACTTCGAATTTTAGTTTGTTCAGCATTCGGTTACTTCAGTTTGTGTTTAGAATTTAAAATATATATTCTCGAAAATATTAACATATCTGAGACTCTGAGTCATGCAAAACTGTTTTATGATCTTTAAGCTCTTTATTCTCGGCTTTCGTTAATCTTGAATGTGTATTAAGATTTGAATTTTTAGAATTTTTTGTTTGTTTGTTTGTTATTGCGCGAAATGATGTATGTTGATATGAACGTGAATTCTCTGCTGGATCAAGGAATTTTCTGGCCTTGTAGGTTTTTATCGGCTAATTGCATTGCTAGTTAATGAGCTGCAATTTTAAAATGCAATTAATTAAGTGTGCAATGATTCAAAACCTGTTTGCTTTGAATGGGTGTTTGGAAGATTTGGATCAGTATTCGAATACTTCAGTTTGTCTTTAGAATTTAGAATAAATAATTCCGGATATATTAACATATCTGAGTCATGCAAAACTGTTTTATGATCTTCTGCTCATTATTCTCGGCTTTCATTAATCCTAAATGTGTATTAAGATTTGCGTTTTGAGATTTTCTGTCTGTCTGTTTGTTGTTGCAAGAAATCATATCTGTTGATATATACGCAGATTTTCTGTTAAGATCAATGAAATTTCTGGCCTTGTTAGTTTTGATCTCTTAATTGATTGCTGGTTAATGAGCAACTTCCGTTGATTTTGAGCTGCAATTTCACATCAATTTATTGTTTGATGACCTGAATCATGTTTTAATTTGAATTATAGGTTGTAGAAGATTTGAATCAGTATTTGGTTACTTCAGTTTGTCTTTATCGTTTAGAATATATATTCCCAGAAATGTCGACACCTGATGTTGATGTGAATCATAATAAAAATATAAAAACAGAGGATATACTCTGCCCTTTGGTTGAATATGAAGAATGCGATTTTTCAAAGTTATTAGAGAAGCCTAGGCTTTTGAATATAGATAGACAGAGATCACTTGATGAAAGGTCGCTCAGCGAATTATCAATTGGGATGTCTCCACGTCATTCTACTAAAGGTGTTGATCTTAATTCATCCCGCTTTTTTGAGCAACTGGAGTCTATTTGTTCGCCGGTGGGTAGAAGGTCAGGTTTTAGCACACCAAGGTCACAAACTGGTTTTGACCCGCATCCAATGGTTGCCGAAGCTTGGGAAGCCTTGAGAAGATCATTGGTTTATTTTCGTGGTCAACCGGTTGGGACTATTGCAGCATTGGATAATACTGAGGAAAACCTAAACTATGATCAGGTGAGAACTCTGTTTTCTGGCAACTCCATCTCAGTTACAAGTAATATCAAGTGGATTAGCCTGTACCCCATATGTTCTCTCCCTCAGCAGGCTTGATAAAGGATAATTACATTTGCAATGGTGATGAAAAATGAAAATCTTCAGTCCTTGAGCTGTGTTTATTGTCAATTTGTTCATCTTTTGCAGTTCTGTGGCTCTTTTTTGAGCAAAGCGCTACTAAGTAGCGCCTAATTTAAAAGTAAAAGATACTATTAGCATATTTTCACTACCAGACTCTATGTTTCTTTTGCTCATATTAGAGTTATTATTATTATTATTATTTTGAAGAATGCTCATATTAGAGTTAAAATGTGCTTCTTGGTGACCTTATTATTTACTTCTAGCTGGTGCAAGTTGTTGAGGTATTTTAGTTTCTCCTGATTGTATGATTTGGAATAAACTTTTGCTGTTATTGTAAATTGTTTTAATATTTGAATTTATCCAGTTCCTTTTATCCCTTTCCGTGCATCAATGTCGCTATATTAATATATATGTTTTCCTTTTTAGATTTATGTGATGTTTTACCCATTTAATTTGTGTTTCTTTATTAAGCCTTCTATTTCTAGCACCTCGTATGAGTTTGACTTTGCGAATCTCCAATGAATGCTCTGGTTTATAATGAGTTTGTAAATTTGATTTCTTATTTTTCTGCAAAGGTCTTTGTAAGAGATTTTGTCCCCAGTGCATTGGCTTTCTTGATGAACGGGGAACCAGAAATAGTAAAGAATTTCATTTTGAAGACCCTTCGCCTTCAATCATGGGAGAAAAAGATCGATAGGTTCCAGTTGGGAGAAGGAGTAATGCCAGCTAGTTTTAAAGTGCTCCATGACCCAGTTAGGAACAGTGAGACATTAATTGCAGATTTTGGGGAGAGTGCAATAGGAAGAGTTGCTCCCGTTGATTCTGGATTTTGGTGGATTATTTTGCTTCGAGCATACACAAAGTCTACTGGAGACACTTCATTGGCTGAGTTGCCTGAATGCCAGAAGGGTATGCGCCTAATTCTGAGCTTATGCCTGTCAGAGGGATTCGACACATTTCCAACCCTTCTCTGTGCTGATGGTTGCTGCATGATTGATCGTAGAATGGTGAGTTATTCATAGCATATATTCTGTTACACATAGCACTAGCATCAAACAGGGTTTGTCTAATTCTATTACTGAAAGTATAATATTACTTGCTCGACATTCCTTTCTTATATCTTCTTGCAATTATATAATGAACGTTAAAGAAACCTCGTTGAGATTACTGGCAATGGCCTCGGACTAGTTGTCCCTTAAAGAAGTAGCAGCCGCAAGATATCAAAACTTCTTCGACTCATTTTTTTCTTAGATAAGTTATATTTGACTTTTGTTTTTTCTTGTTATAGTTTACTCAACTACTGTTTACTATATGGTTGGGCCTGATAACTTGCTTCTAATTTGGGTCTTTTGATAAATGTTAGGGCTTATAAAGTAACACTATGCAGGCTTTTCTCCAAAAAGTACATTAGATATTCAATTTATAATGGATAAATTAGTAACACTGAGCTTTAATACTTGTCATCCTTTCTACAGGGTGTATATGGCTATCCTATTGAAATCCAAGCACTTTTCTTTATGGCTCTAAGGTGTGCTTTGCTTCTACTCAAGCAAGATGATGAAGGAAAGGAGTTCATAGAACGTATAGTTAAACGCTTGCATGCCTTAAGCTATCACATGAGAAGTTATTTTTGGCTAGACTTGAAGCAGCTCAATGACATATATCGCTATAAGACGGAAGAGTATTCCCACACAGCGGTTAACAAGTTTAATGTAATGCCTGACTCTCTTCCCGAGTGGGTTTTCGACTTTATGCCGCTTCGTGGTGGCTACTTCATCGGTAATGTTAGCCCTGCAAGAATGGATTTTCGCTGGTTCTGCTTGGGTAATTGCATTGCAATTCTATCATCATTGGCTACTCCTGAACAATCGACTGCAATTATGGATCTTATAGAATCACGCTGGGAAGAGTTGGTCGGAGAAATGCCATTAAAAGTTTGTTATCCAGCAATGGAAACTCATGAATGGCGTATTATAACAGGATGCGACCCCAAAAACACCCGATGGAGTTATCACAATGGAGGATCATGGCCAGGTATGTTTTCGAGTTATCAACCTTCCTCCTATCACCTTCTAAAGGGTTTTCACGAAGACACTACAACTTAGGTAGTCAAAAATATTTATGAAGTTGACATTTCCAATTATATTTCTAGACTTCATCACACCCTTGATTATAATTGTTGAGATTTTTCTTCCCTTTGAAATTCATTTTTGCTTGCTGCATTGTGTCCAGTGCTACTATGGCTGCTGACAGCTGCGTGCGTGAAGACCGGACGCCCCCAGATCGCAAGGCGCGCCATCGAAATTGCCGAAGCCAGGTTGCTGAAAGACCACTGGCCGGAGTATTATGACGGAAAGCTGGGCCGATACATCGGTAAGCAATCACGTAAAGCTCAAACCTGGTCCGTTGCCGGTTATTTGGTGGCAAAGATGATGTTGGAGGACCCATCTCACTTAGGTATGATAGCAATCGAGGAAGACAAACAAATGAAGCCAGTGTTGAGAAGATCAAATTCATGGACTTTATAACATTCTAGCTTTTGACCTACTGACATGTTTGAGTAGAAGGGCAAAGGTAGAAATGAAATAAACACCTCAGCATATTTGATCATTGTAGAATGTTTCTGTTTGATTTGCACAATTACTTCCTCCCAGTTCTGTTCTGTTTCCTTTCAGCTTGTTTTCGTGCCCAACTTATTCATTCTAAAGATTTTCAACCATTTAACAATGAGCCTTTAACAATGAGCGTTCAAACACTTTTATAGTTTCTAATGTTTAAACCTGAAATTTTTAAAAATGATAATAATCTCTTTAACTATTGAATTAGCTTGGTTTGTGTATTTGTATAAATTATTTTAACACAAATAAAATATTTCAATCTAAATAATAGAATAATATTATAACACGTTGATAATTAATCTTATTACAATTAATATATATGAGATGACCACACAAATCTATGTAAAAAAATAATTTAAAGGGTCTAAAGCGATGGGTAGAATAACAAATAAAATATAAGAAAATTAATCCACTAAGTGTAATTTTAAATTTAGATACTAACTTTATATTCCTTAAAAAGAATAAGAAAGAAGGGAGGAAATGAGACCCAAAACCAAATAAAGGATTTCCTTAATTAAACACAAACTATAAAATCAAATCCCAAAGCACATGGAATTTCCATTAACGTAATACCCAATTTCCCACACTTTCTCTTTCTTTCCCGGGAAAAAAAGAACAAACAACACAACATGAGGGCAGAGAAGAAGCTGATCCACGCCGTTACCATGTGGGTGAGACGACAACCGTCCAAGGTGAAGGCTTTCTTGGCGATGGTATCGGGGCTGGCGGCGCTCATGTTCCTCCGATTCATCGTACACGACCACGACAATCTCTTCGTCGCCGCCGAGTCTGTCCACTCCCTCGGAATTTCCGTCCTCATCTTTAAACTCACAAAAGAGAAGACTTGTGCTGGTAATCCCCTCCAAATGAAAGAAAGCATTAATCTTCCTCATTTGATTAGAAAATTTCAGATTTTGATTTTGCAGATTCCTCGTTTGATTATTTTGTGCCGATCGGTGATGAGTTTTTACTTCATCGCCCTTTCTGGAATTTCTTTCTGGCTTTCTTTTTCTCTCGTTTTGTGACTTGAATTTAATTCTTGATATATAAAGATCATTTCTTTGTTCCATTTTTTCTTAGCTATCATGAAGTGGGAGCGTTGGTCAAAATTGATTGATTTTGTAGGAGTTTTTTTTATAGATAACTTTGATGTTATGTATGTATGTATGTATGTATGCATGCATGCATGTATATGTATAATATCAAATACTATGATGCTCAAACTCTCCATTATCATTGAAATTGAAAAAGAAAATGAATCATATCTATGTTGAATACATATCCGTATCAGACTCTCAGGCCCGAGTCTGATTAACATAGATTAATTGTTCTTCCTATGGTATCCTATCAAATTACACTGAAGGATCTCATTTTGATGCAAAGGGAAGCCCTTTATTGATTGTCTCACCTGATGATTTTATGAATTCGGTCTGTTTTTCTGTCTATACTTTGCTAAATCCTTTGCACCAACCTTTTTGTTTGTGACATCGGTTTGATAGAGTTTTCTCAGTTTTTGTTTGCAAACTATAGTAATTATTGGTTAATAAATAAGATCTGCAATATGTATTTTAATCTTTTTCATGTGATTAATTTAATTAATGATACTTTCTTGATTATTTTCTTTTGTTTTAACTGAAGTGTAGAGATTCTTTATCGGCGAAAATACCAGACTTACTTGTTTTGGAAATGTTTTTGAATGTTGTCAGGACTATCACTGAAATCCCAAGAACTAACAGCTATATTTTTAGCTGTTAGGCTGTACTGTAGCTTTGTCATGGAATATGATATACACACCGTTCTCGATTTAGCCACATTGGCTACGACCTTGTGGGTTATTTACATGATCCGTTTCAAACTGAAGTCCAGCTACATGGAAGACAAGGACAACTTTTCCATTTACTATGTTGTATGTCTCGATCGGTCATATTAACTTTTTCATGTGCTGCTCTTTGTTTTGTTGCTAGACATCTATCTATCTTATGCTGTTTGTTTCGTATATAACCAGTTGAGCCAACACAATTGAAGGTGTCACCGTTTGTGTTGCTACACGTGAACTTGTATTAACTGCACAATTACCAACTTTTTTGGTCAAATTGATTATTCGTTTGAACACTTTCTAGGAGTCATTTCCGGGATTTTGGATGCAGGTTATCCCTTGTGCAGTACTAGCACTGGGTATTCATCCATCAACTTCTCATAATCTTATGAACCGGATTTTCTGGGCGTTCTGTGTATATCTGGAAGCTGTTTCAGTTTTACCTCAGTTGCAAGTGATGCAAAATACTAAGGTATGAATTACTTAAAATAATCAATACAGTTACAAGGTTTATACGAGTTCTGCTGTAACTCATCTTGTGCTTGCAGATTGTCGAGCCTTTCACTGCTCATTATGTATTTGCACTGGGTGTTGCAAGGTTCCTCAGCTGTGCTCACTGGGTTCTCCAGGTTAGATCTTTCGATGAGAAGTCAAATGTGATTGGTTTTGGTTAAATTTTATTGATGTTTTGCAATGCTGAAATTGAAACCCACTTTGAGTATGTTTTTTTGTAAAATTTATCCACTTTGGAAATTATAGACAGCTTGAGCACACACAAAGAATGGTCCTGAAGTTCGAACTAAATGCCCCTGTCAGCTTATTGCTTCTGCATGTCGATCATTGTCAGGTTGATAAGCTTACATAAGCTATGTTACTCGAACTCTTGCACGAGTTTCTTATACGGTTGTGCATCTGACACGGGTACTTCTTGAAAAGTGAAGAGTCCAAGCGACGTAGAACTTAAGTATTTTTGTGTAGGGTGAAACCTTTGTACGATGCCAGTGATTGTGGGAGTTGATATTTTGATTTATTATAAAGGTGATTGATCGCATTACGATATTAATTCATTCTCTACCACTTCCAACAGGTTTTAGACAGTCGAGGACACTTGCTGGTGGCTCTAGGTTATGGATTGTGGCCTTCGATGGTTCTTATATCCGAAATCATCCAAACTTTCATTTTAGCAGATTTCTGTTACTATTATATCAAGAGGTCTGTTAAAACCTTTTTAGTATGTGGTACTAGCTAAACATATCATTAACGTCACTTGTACATTCGTTTGTGTTTTGCAGTGTATTTGGAGGGCAGCTTGTTCTCCGTCTTCCCTCCGGAGTGGTATAAGTGAATATGACGTTTTCTGGTTGTCGATGAGCTCGCTGACTGAAAGAATTATAGCTGGGTTACAAAAAACGTTACGAGTTGTCCTTGTTTTTCGCTCTCGACACGGTTCTTTCGTCTCGAAATCAGGATTGTATATTTGAGGAGGTTCAAACTTTTTTATGGTTAACATTTTGTGTCAAATGCTTAAATTATTAGAATAAGCTGAGACAGATTCAGACCACCTATGTTACTAAAGTATTTTACCTCAGACATTCGATTACATGAACAAAATTGTAAAAATTTATAAAATGAATAATCATAGTTTATAAATTGTTATTAATCTCTCGTGCTTGATTAATGCCTATTTAAGCTGTTATATTTTTTTCAATCAAGCCCAAGTGCCTAACTTGTTTTATTCAAACGCGTAATACATCAAAATATAAATTGTTGTTGTCTTGATCTCAAATAAAACTCATTTTATTGTGAAATATATTTCAGAATGAAGCAATTGATAAGATGACAAAATCAAAGTTCAAAGAGACACTTTCCAGTGATGAAATTGACGATTTGATCTACTGCTTCATCAAGGGCAGCAGTCACTGCAACCAAATTCTGCAGGAATTCCTCTGCAGCTGGTTTATCACCATCTACTATATCTGTCACTGCTTTAACAAATATTACAGGAACTTTCAAAAGATCTGCCACATAGGCTAAAGCTGCTCCCTGCAACAAAATAATAGAACATTTTCAAGAAGTCTCTTTCCAGTCGCATGTGTTGTTTGCTAGGATGTTGTGTCATAAATAGATGAGTTTTTCTTTGAGATTACCTCCATGTCTTTGACCGTAGCATCATTCGCTGTGATTGACGTTTCATCCTGAGGGGTCATATCCAAAGAATCGCCCGTGGATAATTTGCCAGACTAACACACAGAGAAAAGTATAATGGAAATTGCACTCATAAAGTAGATTCCATGCATGTACAAAGAAAGTGCATGTTTGCTCAACGAGCCATAGAAGTTATCTAGGAACGATAAACGAGTCTTAATGAACCGTCAGAAAATTCCAACAGAAAGATTTGTAGAATGAAAGAGATGAAAATGGATTTTATAAGTTCAACGTTAGCAGAAAATACAGAAGTTAAAGCCATGGCCAACAAACCAATTCTACTACCAGACAGAGTAAAACAAGCAAAATAATCACCTTCAAATTAAGTGTTTTCAAGAGATTAGGTGTTGGGAAGGTCTGCCGCGAACCAACACCGTATAAATCAAAAACCTATAGAAGAAACAAAAATTAGTTATCACTAAAGATTACATGCAAGAGCTGGAAATAAAATTTCTAAGCAATGCACATACTAGGTTCAAGGTTTACAACAATATTAACAGTTTTTACAAACGTAAACTATGTGACCAACGCATCATCACCCTTCACGAATCACGGAATGAGAAGTAAAGCGATTGAAGACTAAGGGCCAATATTACTCACTGGGATTGGTATTCTTCTATCATGGAATGCAACATGAGACACGAGAAAAATATCACCAATCTCTGCTCCCTTTGCCTGGAAGAATCCAAGAATAAATACACAAAACGTTTAGCATAGAGTTATACAAGATTATTATAAGCAGCATAAACCTAATAGAAACATAGCTAAGAATCATTGCAATACGACCTTTTTTCCTTAATTCTAAAAAAGGAGCAAAATATCAGTGATCGGAATTACCTTAAAGCCACCGGCAGTGCCTGCATTTATGATCAGATCATGCTGCAATGCCTGGATGGATGCATAGGTCACGAGAGAGGCAGAAACCGTGCCAATATTATCAACCCCTGCAAAGAATCAACCAGACAATTTAACAAATTGGACTAGTGAATGCAAGAAGCTTCCGATTGTCGACATCTCCACTACCTACATGGCAGATGTAATGTGCCTGGCGTGACTAACTCGAGTGCTTAACAATACAGTATAGGACTTAATCAAAGCTCCTAAGTTTCTACAAGAACCATACAAGCATAACTTGCAGCTAACTAAGAGTGTCTGGATCACTACTAAACGAAGATTAACATGAGCAGATCGAAAAATAAAACGTAGTTACCCAAGGACAAATCTTTCCCTGGCCAAACTAGATGTATCACAATGTCCTTGTATGTACCATGATAATGGACCCAAGGGACCCCTTCTGGAAACCTGCAACATTGCCAATGGGCATAACAAAAAGAAAACCAAATAAGCAAACACACACTGAAACACTGATGATTAAAAGATCAACCCACTATTAAATTCATCGACTTCCAAGACACGAACTTTAACAAAAAATCAATGGGAATAGCTAAAGGGAAAAAGGAACTCACGGAGAATGAGGGTTCTCAACCAGCTTCAATTTATTCACCACTGGCAAAGCTTCTGTTTGCATAGCTTTATTAAACGAACAAAAATCCAATGAGCATCACATGGGAAATAAGTAAAAATATGGGAAAGAAAAGAGAGATGGAAAGTGGGTATTTTTACCAATGACGATGAGGATGGATGAAATTGGCTGTCGTCCGACTTGAGCAACCGTGGGATCCAACGGGGCACCCTCGCCGTGAGGAGCCATAGTTGTTCCTTTGAAAAACTTTATCTATCTTGCTTTTGCCTTTGCAGCTGCCGCTGCTTTCCTTCGTCTCTCAACCTGGGATTTTTTCCCAATACCATTGAGGCATTGAAAGTTTTTCAAACGTTGGTCGAATGGGTCCACCAATGTTTCTTTTATTTGATTAAGGCCCTTTCATCATTTTATCGAACATTTTATCAAAAGTATTTTAAAATTATAAATGACATTAAATAGATAAAAAAATTAAAAAAAATGTCTATTTAAAAAAAATGTTTAAAAGGTATTTTTTAATTCAAACGTAAAAAATAAAATTTTTAGTTTTATATTTTTTAAAAAATATTGTTAGAGCTAAATTATAATTTAAATCTTCATTTATTATCTAATGATGTGTTTAATTCAATTTTTTTAATTTTCATTTATTTAGGCATCTAAAATTGTAACGTTAAAGACCTATTTTTAACCAAAAATTCTAAAATTAACTTTAGATATAGTTTGGACACTTATTTTTACATTAAGACTAGAATTAAATATTTTCTTTTTGGATCAAAGATAAAAATGTGTTAAAATAGGTTAAATTGAATTATTAGTTTTTTAAAGGAACAAAATATAATTTTTTTTAATTAATTGAAGGGTTAAAATGATTAAATTGAATAAAAAATATATGAGAGGGGCTTAAAAGCAATTATACCATTTAGCCAGTCTTTTAGATAATCCAAACAGCCCAATATAGAATGTTTAGCATATTCAAGAGGAAGTGCATGCCCTAAAAACTGGTTATGCTGTGCTGATCATGTATATGAAGTGTGATCATCATGGACAACTCAAAGGGTTTGCCCCTCCTTATTTTGTCACCTCTGATATCTACATAAGAGATATCTTTGATATGCATCTATGATGACGGCTGCAGCAGCGACGAGGACGATGCAAGGGGCTCGTGGACAACTGAATTCGAAGAGATTGAGATGGAATCGCCCTCTAACTGGAGCATGACACCCCCCAGGATCTCTGTTAATAGTTTCTTGAACTCATCTTCTTTAACCATCTTCCCGTCGTTCGCATTCACCATGTCGAATGCATCAGCAACAACCTTGTCAATCTGGAGAGATTTCAACAACATCGGTTTGAGTGGACTGAAATAGGCTTATAGTTGCAGTTTGCAAGTCTGTCTAATACATATTGTTATTGCATTACCTGTTCGACTGCACCGATTGGAGGTAAACCTGCTGATGGAGCCACTACATCTAGTACCGGACGTAAATAATCCTTCGATACTTTACTGTTGCGATCTTTCGGGACGTTTTCTAAAGCTATATTAAGCGACTGCAATTGCAGAAATGCATTCCTTCAGAAGAGCAACATACAGAGTATAGGGTGAGCCGATAAGAAGAGCATACATGCCTTGTCTAGTTCAAACTTGTTGGATAATAGTCTCTTAATGCCGCTTCCATCGAAGGTGTTTTCGCTATGGGCGACGATGACCGGCTGCTCCTTGAGATTCCGAGCCACACGCTCCGCAACTTTCTTGAATTCTTCTAGGAACGTTTCTTGAGAGACAAGTTTCTCTTGGTCATTGTCATCCCATGAATACAAAGCCGGTTCTATTATGTTGCTTGTAACCTACACAAGCAAACACGAGCCAGGACGGTGGGAAAAATAATTTACTTAACATTACATGCTGAAGATTGAACTACAAATCCATCCGGAAAGTAAATTACCCAAGAATCTGAACAAGGCGGCACTCCGTGGTCGACAGTAAGTTTCTCCAGAGCCTTAACAATGCAATCCCGCAGCGATACCGAATCATCCGACGTAACCTGTTGAAATAGGGACACCATCTCCGCTTCATAACTCGGACCGTTGATGAACTCCGACAGGTCTTCGCCGTCGATACGGAGGATCACGATAGGGTCTCGCTTCAAACCGGCCGCCATACCTAGTAAAATATCGGAAAGAACCTCTTTGAACTCTGTCTTGCTCACTTTTGCTTGCTTTCCTTGGGTGAATTCATTCAAAACCTGAAAAGAAACATGTCTGAAAGTCAGCTTCTACACCAATGAACCTATCCGATACCGAAGACATACAACAAGAACAGCTTGTGCACTTGTGTTTTTTTTATCCCAAGTGTGTAATGGAGAGGACAATGATGACAAATTATGCAGACCCTGGCCTGGACTTGGTCCAGAGCCTTACCTAATCAATCGGACCCTCAAAAATAATTATGTAGCAACTTGACTTTCGTCACTTGAAATCCTTTTATGACTTATGTGCACAGCAAAGTTCAAAAACGACAGCTAAAGTTTCCACAGCAATCGTCACTAGATTCCTCCTTTGCATAAAGATAAACAAAAATAGTGGTGTAAATGAATCAGAATGAATAAGGTCATGTTCGTGGTCATTTGTTTATTTTTATGATATTCATATTTGTGTTTATTTATTTTTTAATATGTTTGTATTTGATTTGTTTAGCGAATATGCTCGTTTATATGTTCAAAAAATTGTGAAATTGTATTACTAGTCCTTAAGCTCTTGAAACTTCATAGTTTAAACTCCAAAGTCCACAATGTATTCAATTTAATCCATACTTTCATTGAAAAATGCAAAAAGAATAGGAGAGTCGGATAAACGGGTTTATAAAAATTTCAATAAACGAACTTTCATATGAATTTATTCGTGAACATAAATGAATCGTTCACACATTTATTTGTGTTGGTTCATCTATTTAGTTTAATAAACTAATGTTATGCAAACTATTAACAAATAATTTATCAAACACTAAAATCCGGTCCATAACACTGACCATATTGAAAAATGAAAACCATTGGCTGTGTATTCTCGAGCTACGGCGACACGAGAGAGAGAGAGACAAACCTCGGAGTAAATATGGTTAAAATATGAGAGTCGGGGAAACAGGTTTAAACGAATTTTGGTGTGAACTTATCCGTGAACATAAACGAATTTTACACGTTTATTTATCTTCGTTTATTTATTTAATTTAATAAACTAATCTTATGCAAACTATTCACAAATAGTTTATCAATCGCTAAAATCCGGTCCATAACACTGACCATAATGAAAAATGAAAATCATTGGCCGTGTATTCTGGAGCTACGGCGACAAGAGAGAGAGAGAGAGAGACAAACCTCGGAGTAAATATGGTCAGAATCAGGAGAAGAACCCTGAGCAGGCAAGCCGAGAGCAGCGCCAATATCAGCAACGGCAGGCTGTAACTCTTTCACAGACAGCTGACAATCGCTGTCCTTGTCGAGCTCGTTGAACTTATGATCCACGAAACTGGTAAACACCTCCTCGTTCTCAACCAACTCCATTATATCCGAACCGTCTAGAACCTGTCCGCTTTTCTTCTTTACAGGGTTCCTGTTCTCGATGTGCTTGTCTCCATTCAATTCTTTTGGCCTTTTTGGATCAAAAGCCTGTGGCTTTCTTGTGAGTCTTGTGATGTACAAGACAAGGGAGCCCCCCCTTGGTTCTTTGGTGCGAGTCCCGTGAGTGAAACACGAGTTCAAAGTGACGAGAGAGGTTTTCTGTGTCAACTGTATGTATCTTTGGGTTAGGCCAGTTTTATACGAGGGGGAAGTGGACGTTTTGATAACGTCTCTTTCTTTTGTTTAATCCAACTCAATATAAAGGCCGCATGTTTGGTTTCATTTTCATGGAAACAACTCTTAGAAAATAAGTATACGTTAGAATTGTTAGGATTCGGATAATGAATATATAAATATCAATTATACTATTATTCTCGAGTTATATATCTTTTTACTCTAAACAAAATTTAATTTGACCTTATTCTTAAAAAATGATATGAACTCATTTTTCAAAAAATGACCCTATTGAATCTGGTGAGATTTGAGTCAAATTTTCATCTCTAAATATGACTCATGCCTTATGGTTGAATCAAATCGTGATAATTATGGGTATAAATGAATTAGACTTGAACGAAAAAAATGCTATATATACATTCGTTTGTTTATTTTTGAATGTATTCGTGTTTGTATTCGTTTAAATTTTTAATGTATTGTTTGTATTTGTTTGTTTTATTTTTTAAGGTATTCTTTTTCAATTCATTTAACATTCGTAAACATATTCATTTATATATTCACCGATATATTCGTTTACATGTTAAAAAAATAGAGTGAAATTACACAACTAGTCTTTAAGTTTCTTAGGCTTCACAATGGAACTCTAAAGTTTATTAAGTATTCAATTTAGCATTTAACTTCACCAATATTTAAAATGTAAGGACAAAAAAAACCGAATAAACAAGCTTTTAAACGAGTTTATTTGTGAACATAAACGAACTAAACACATCTCTATTAATTTTTGCTCATTTATTAAAAAAATAAAAAATTATTTTTATTTATTTATTTAAATAAACAAATAAATATTTATATAAATGATTCATAAATAATTCATGTAGTCGTTAACCCTCCTAGTGACATTAGTAACATTCGATTCTATCGATGAGGGTGCAAAAGGTCAAGGTGAGCTCAATAAATTTATGGATAGGACACGTGGGACGGTTAGGGTTGGTGGGAGAGATTACATTACATAATCATTAAACACACAACACCCAACATTTTCGGCTTTAGAGTTTCGCCGGCCCTTACTAAGGCGGTGGCGCGTGCACTTGTGGGCCCTAGAACGGATAAATCTTTGACTATTTCCATTCGCAATCATCGTTACGTGGCAACAATCTGGTGGAAGTCGTTTATCTTTACCTATAATTGAAACTGATCATGCGTCTGGTTTTTATTGCCATCACACATTTGTCCACTACGTGTAGTGGATAAGAGTAGATGGAAAAGAATCGAATCTAAAATTTAAGAAATGAGGGATAAAAATTTAATATTTTAAATTGGATAGGTTAATTTTTCCCTATTTTTCTTAATTTATTAAATCAAATTTAATAATTTTGTTATGATTTGATCTGTGTTTAAAAAAAATCATTTAATCTGGAATTCGATTAATTTTTTATAATACAAATTCACATCTGATTTAATGTGACATAAATATATAATTTTTTATTTTTATTAGATAAAATAAGAGATCTAATTAAAAGAAATACAAAGACATGAGTATTATAGTTATTATCTTTAAATATATAAAAATAAGCTGATCCGGTTTTTTTAATAAAAGAACATTGATATTATAGAGTCAAGTTCGAGTTTGAACTCTTTAAATTCTGAATAAATAATATTTATATTACTGAATAATTTATCCAACACTAAACTGAATTTATCAGATATACTTTATAATCTTGCTGACCTATCAATTTACCTTTCGTCAGTAGTAATGTAATGAATTCAAAGAATGAAAAGCTTGATCTAACTATTTTTATGGGGTTTAGTTGTATTGAAAATCCTCCAAATGCGACGAGGCTTGGTTCCAGTTCCCTTGTAAGATGTTTGTAGTTCCTGGCATGAATTTGAGTTCCCATTAGCGACTGATGGTGTTGAATATGTGGGTGAATAATCTTGTGCGTCGTTTGTTGTCGATTGCTCCTGGGACACAGACAAGCTGGGAGAAACTGGAAGATGATGCTGTTCCAACTGCTGCTTGGTTTCGGTAAGAGATGCCTTACTTGAACCAACCATTTCTGCTTTTCTCAGATTCTCTTCTTCCTACCTCAATTTACAGATAATCCATCGTGATACATTCTTTTTCTTACGAAGATTAAACCCTATATACCTGAGTATTCAATGTCTGGTAACAGTTACCGATGGTTCTTGAGGAGAAACACACTGCAAAATGTGGTGAAACCTTGCGTCGCCATAGTTCACTGCCTTATCCCAATAAAAAAACCAAACCTCCCTTGCTTTCACCTTGAATTCGAACAAGTTCCGATCGATTTCGGTCTCATGTTTTGCAACATATGGCCGGAGAAAAGAGTTATAGACATAAGTCGTTCCCTGAGACCGAGATGAAATCGAACAACTTTAGAAAGAAGATTTAACTAAAAGATTAAATAATTCATAACATATGGCTGGGACCAGCGTCTCAATTGGCTGGTTATTAATTTGAAGGGTAAGACACTTCGAATACGAATTCTAAAGCTGGTTTGGACTGGTTTTCTGTACCACATCTGGGAAGCACGTAACCTCAGATTTTTCAGAGGCCTTTCTAGATCAAGTGAGGATACTGTAAGTGAAAATTAAATTGTATAGCCTTAGTTTACACAGTATAGATGATGGTAATAGAGCTTTGTACACAAATTGGGAACTATTATAGGTTGAGACAGCTCTCTTGTAGCAGGTAAGCTGTATTTTTTTGGTTGGAATATAATTTACTCATCCAAAAAACATTATATATTATCTATTGAAAAAATTGAATGAATTAATGTTATTTATAACTAATTAATAATAAGTCGTGACATTTGGTGAATGAATTTAATTTTTGGTTTAAAGTTGCATCCATTCAATCATACCTATTCAACAATTCTCTTCATGAAAAGATTAAATCATTCAGTGGAAAGATTAAGCACTTGACAAATCCTTTAATCGAAATGTCTTAATCCTTCAATCTATTTTTTCTTCTTATATAAAGGTTCGTTGAGTCACAAATCTTAGACGCAACTTTGAGAGACAACTTTGATACACAATTCACAAAGTTGAATTAGCAAAACACCTAAAAGTTTCTTTTTAAATTCGTTCTTTCCGATAATAGAGAAATATAAGATTGTGTTCGACTGGCCACTACAGTTGTGCTTACTGTTTTGATCGTTTGATGTTTTTATCACATGCAGTGGTACTATAATATTTAATTTAATTGTATCAAAGTGAAATGCAGAAAAAAAAAATTCATTCTGAAGCACGGAGATAGATATTACAGAATGAAAAGAGTGCTACAACAAAACTAGAGATGGGGTGGCCACTGCTATCTTTTCAAGAAGAATTAGATTTGAACACCATATGATCCCAAAAGCCCTGCATGCTTCTCTTTGACAACCGAGCAAATAGGAACAATAATAATATCAGTTTATTTAATTTAGAAAATGATAAAGGTAAAACAAGACACATGTTGTACTGAAATAAAAAGAATAAAAACAATAGGATTTGGCATGGAAGTTTATGGGATGGCTATAATGGATGATAATCATATGGACAGCTGCTAAATGTGATGTAAAAGTCAAGAAGGGCCTTGTTCAAGCAGGCATGTCAAATATATACACGTTATTCAAACTAGGTTGTTATAAGTTTACGAGGATCTCCCTAGTCCCTACAACTGCGCATGCTCTCATTGCGCCAAGCAGAGAATTATTATTTTCAGAATAAAGACCAAGTATGCATTCATTAAAAGAAGTGTGATTTAAAGGAAAAAAATGAAAAATAATATTATAAAATTGGATTCCATGAAAAAGTCGGAGTTCAGACTTAAATTAGCTTCCATGAAACTCAAGAAAATTCTTAAATCACCAAATGGAAAAGATAAATCTTTAAGAGTACATTATAATCCACCAAGTATCCTATTATATTTAAATGCATTCTTGGTGCTTCCTAGATATTTTAGAACAGTCATACTTCCGAATGCAACAGATGGCCAAAGGTAGAGAGGCTAAACATGAATATCTAGCTAGTGTAAAATAATTTTGCATTTACCATATCAACACAGAGTCTATGTGATGATGGCATTCCTCAATGTCCATCTCAACATAAAGAAGTGAATCTTCCATTGGGCTACAAGTTGAGCATGAAAAAGGTTTAGCCGATAAGTATCAATATCACAAGAACAACGAAACCGTTATATTGAACAAAGCTCCAACATCATCAGATTCAGCTGTCATGGTAGACTTTGATATGAACAAGTTTATCAAACCTTTATCAAAATGTCGATTATGGAAGATGGAAAATATGATGAATAGGAATATTGGCAAACTGCTCCATGGAAAAATAGGTTTAGGCCAACATACCTGTTTCTTCATGCCGAAAATGAATAAAGAAGAACTTTACAAGATATTCAAAGTCATAGAGACTGGATCCATGCAATGACGAGAAACCTTTACAATTTGATTACTATTATTCAAGTTACAAACATAAGCTAATAATTACTGATTACAATGGGAAAATAAAAGCTATACAAATATGTAATTAACATGTTGAGTCACTAACACGTAATCTGAAGAAGAAAAATGTAATTATAGTCATGCAATGCTTATATTATTACGTTTTCGTCGTTAGAAGAAAGAAGGCGTTTTTCAGTAGGTTTATGGCTATTATTGGCAATCTGAAGGGGTATTCCGGTCTGATTTGTCTTATTAATGTGTATGGATCGTCAGTAGACGCAAAAAAGAGGTGTTTTTCAGTGATCTTCTCTCATTTGTTGTTCAGCTAGATTGTCCGACCTGTTTGGGGGTGACTTTAACGCGTATCTATCAAAGGAAGATAAATTGGGTGGTTATCAGAATGGGTTTTCAGTGAGAGTGTTCAGTGAGTTTATTCATCAAGCTAATCTAAACGATCTTCCTTTGGCTGGAGGTAGTTTTACTTGGAGCAATAATAAGAAGTCTACGACCTTTGTCAGGCTGGAAAGGTTTTTGGTCGATCCTCGGTTTCTATCAACCTTTCCGAAGGTTAGCCAGTCTTTATTACCAAGATCAATTTCAGATCATAACGCCATTTTCCTGGAAAACAACAGGGTGAATTGGGGATCTAAGCCTTTTAGACTATTCAACTATCTGATGGATGAAAACGATTTTAAAGAAATGATGGAATAAGAATTGAAGGAGCTTCAGAAAGGAGGTAGGAGAAAAAAAAGGGGGGAAATTTCAGTGTTTTAAAGGGGTCTAAAGCAACTACAAAAAAGTGGTCGAAAAATAGGCACCTTGAGTTGCATGACTTAATTTTTGACATGGAACGTTTCATCCATGATATGGAAATGGCTAAATAGCAGGGGTCCTCCACATTTACAATCGAAGATGTTGCTAAAGCTAGAAAGGAGCTTTGGAAGTTATATAGGAAGAATGAGCAGATTTGGTTTCAAAAGTTTAGAGTTAAGTTGTTGACGCCAGACAGAATAGTGATTATCCTGTAGGCTAGCTCCGACAGACGATTCACAAGAGAAAATTCGCCCAAAAACCAGAGAAAAAAAGTCTCTAGGGTTTAATAAAATATTATAAAATCAATAACCGTCAAAAGCAGTCCACAAGCCGGACTGTTATAGCTAAAAAAAATCGTCTTTATTCGAATTTTGCCAAAAATAGCAAAAATCGTATTTATTCGAATTTTGCCAAAAATAGCAAAATCCCGAAAATCACTCTAAATTGAAATTCGAAATAAAATAAGCAATCTCCCAAAAATCCGGTCTAAATCGGATTTAAATTGACTTCCTAATTAACAATCGAAATATTACCATAAATAGTAAAAAATAACTAAATCTAGTGATTCGGAGGGGAAAACGGCAGAATTTGAGGTTGAAAAAAAGGCCACATGGAGCGTAGCTCAATGTGGAGAGCGTGCGCGTCGAAAAGAGCTTTCCGGATTGAGGTCTTATGCGCGATTCTGACACCTGTAGCCAAAGTTATGGCCAAAAGACTGAAACATACTCAAAACGACCCCAATAAGGAACATGTCACAATCAATTCCCGCCTTTGCGCTGATCTGCCAACTCATGGTATCTCAGCGCCATCAACGTGCAATCTGACAGCTCAGCATCATCTGTCTCAGATCCCCCTGCATCAGTTGTTTTTGGAGGGTGATAGAAATTCTAGATTTTTTCATTAGTGTGCGGTGAATAGAGGGAGATTGAATTTGATCAAATCTTTGAAAGTTGGTGATGAATTGATTTCGGACCCTGAGAAAATAAAAACTTGTGTGCTGATTTTTTTTAAAAAAAAGCATACAATTTGGATAAAAATAAGAATTATATATATATATATATATATATATATATCATTTTTATTCGATAAAATTGAGATCTAACCGAAAAAGAATATAAAGAGATCTAATCGAAAAATAATATAAATAGAGGAGCATTGTTGCAATTATCTCTAAATCTATAAGAGATAATTACACTATATATCGGGTCGAATATTTTTCACTCTAGAGCTCTCTATCACTGAAACCAATCTTTGAATTTCCTCCGCTTTTACTCAAAGATGGGCATCGGATTAATTCATGCAAAGCAAAAGCTGCAACAAACCTTATCGGCGAGAATCGGGGACGCATTGGCAACGACAGCAAATGTTCCGAAAGGCCATGTCGCGGTTTACGTCGGAGACTGCAACAAGAAAAGATTTGTGATCCCAATATCTTTCTTGAACCATCCACTGTTCCGAGACTTGTTGGATCGAGCCGAGGAAGACTTCGGGTTCAACCATCCGATGGGAGGCCTCACAATTCCATGCAGTGAAGTGTATTTCGTCAGAATTACTACAGTCTTAAACAGTGCAAATAGATGAAGCAGCAGCACTGCAACAACCTATGAAGCAGTGTCTTGTTCTCTGGTTCAGACGAATCCAATCCCATTTAATCAACTCTAGTTTTGTATATTAAACCGTTGGCACAAACATGTCCCATATCATTGAAACTGTTGGTGCAGATTATGCACAGTACTAAATTGCTGTTTTGGTTGCGGTTATAGATGCTGATATGATTTATTTTTTTAAAAATAACTATGATTCTAAATTATAAATATGGTTGCAGTGTCACAATAATCTTAAAAACCATTAAAATGCGGCCGTTTTATTACGTTGCGGTCGTATTTTAGTATTATAATGAAGAATATAGATGATTTTTCAATATTCATGGAAATTATGGTGCAAAACCCGTATTTCGTATTAAGAGTAACGACAGGAAAGAAGTGAATTCTTGCAAGATTTTTAGGTTATGGTTTTACCCCTGTTTGCAGAAGGCTTTGGAAGTCCATTTTTATTGCAAACTTTTTAGGGTAATTACATTAAACGTCCCCAAAGTATAACTTAAATTCTAAAATAGTCCCCAATGTATTAGTATTGTGTATATAAGGCACTTCCTTCAGCCGAATCATCAGCTTAGGAGTTAAAATATCTGATACATCTCCGAAGTTTGGATAAACATGGTGTTTCCTTTACGAGTAACAGTCTCAAGTTGCCCTCATAGGGACCAGACAACTAGAAGTACGATGATGGCAGTGACACTTTTGTAAGGAGTAAAGCTTGGTTATCAGGTAGGCCATTTTGATAAAGTGCAGGGCTCCTGAGCACTGGTTTAAAACATGCGATAAACTAACGACGTGGCGACATAAGAGATACCAGAAACAGACTACTCCTAAGATAACTATGATTTTGTTTAATAATTTGCTTCATTATTATTGTCTTGACCAACACACAACCAAACTCCTCCAAATTTGTAACAAATGTAGAAAGGAAACTAGTTCATTATGGAAATGAAAGTGGTCTAATTATGATTTTAGAAATTTGATACATAACTTTTATGATGGATGCAGAGGCTCTCGTACTAAAGTTCATCATCAACTTGATCGAGATGTGGGGGACGGACCTTGTTGCATATCTAATCCATATGAGACCATACTTCTGTTAACTTTTGGTTGAAAGAAAAAAATTAGGTGATCACTTTAGTGACATCAATGAACAATACTATCATTATAAACCTAGACCAAACTATGTCAAATTAAACTAGAGGGATCAAATCGTAGGAGTAAAAACACAATTAGACGAAAACAATCGAGTAGATTTACTGTTTTTGCAATAATATCCTCTTTGATGTCCCTACTGTTGGAAAATATCTATATAGTTGGGGACTTGGAGTTATCAGAGATGTCCCTACAATATTAGTATACTGGACCAACACCAAGGACCTTGAAGAATGAAGATCCTTCACTCAAATTCACCATTCAAATGCATTCAAAACATTGCCTCAAATCAATGAATCAGTATAATTGCAGAAGTTTGAAACGTTCCGGTTTATCTTAGCTCGAATTGCGGAACTAGTCGTCGGTAATCTCGACTCCTAACTCTGAAAACGATGACACGATGAAGAACCATTGCATAAGTTAAGCAAATCTTAAATGTTTCTGAGCAATCTGCATTGCAAATGGGACCTAGAGACATTGCAAGTTGGCAACGACCAGGCTAGTTTTGTACGTAGGGGAAACAACTCTGCAAACTTTTATATCTAAGTTCAATGCTTCAAGTACATAATGAAAACGAATCATCAATATTAACTTAAGCCCTGTGATGTCTTTGATGTGGAAAGTACATTGTAATTCAAAACAAAGGTGTCGAAAAATACGTATTTCGGACATGATTTCGCAAGTTATACATTGCACTTTTTAAGTTTCTTTGTGTAGGTAGGACAGAATGCTTTGTATCAGACAAAACAGAACCATGTGAAACTTTAACTATGCTGCACAACTATATATAGGTTTAGGTACCAAAGGAGTCATTTTAACTCAAGTTTGATTGCAGTCTAAGTCTAAAATGTGTATACAATCAGTGGGGTTAGCTCGGACCAAGAAAATGCTCTGCAGAAGCCTCTTGTCGAGAATTCGGGATCCATCTGCGACGAAAATTGTTGCAAAAGGCCACATTGCAGTATACGTTGGGGAAACCAGCAAGAGGCGGTTCATGATTCCTATTGCTTACTTGAACCATCCTCTATTCGAAGGCCTACTGAATCTGGCTGAGGAAGAATTCGGATTCGACCATCCGATGGGCGGTCTCACGATTCCGTGCAGCGAAGAATATTTCATTGGTCTTTCAAAAATGTTAAAATTTTCCTAGATGGTGGCCATAGTTTATGTAACTGTTCTATTTTGTTTTAGCACACTTGCAGATAATGTCCCATGCTGAAATATTCATTGGCTATCTGTAAATAAATACTTTTAGGTAACATTGTGCTAATTAATCCTTTGCTGACAACTAAACATTGTTACTTAGCACAATAAAGAATACATATGTATACATACATACATACATACGTACATACATACATCTGGTGTTTCGATATTATCAAATAACAGAACAGAGAGGGTCATTTACAAATCCCAGTACCGTTGTTACAGTTGGAAATAGATCAAACTAAAAGAAACAATAATGAATAAATAAGCCAATCAGCTCATCGATTCAAGCATGGTTTATTCGAGACGTGAGCTTGATGAATTCATCTTCAGCACAAGGAACCAGGAGACGACCCACTGTATGATGATCGAATCCGAACTCTTCTTCGGCTTGATTCAACAAGGCCTGGAACAAAGGGTGCTTCAAGTAAGATATCGGGACCACGAATCTCCTGTTCTTCTCTTCATCTCCGACATAAACAGCGAAATGGCCTTTCTGGACAACATTTACTGCACTCGATGTTTGGTAGGAACATTGGTGCTTCGAAACTGACCATCGTCGGATAGTTTCCGTTGCATGAAGCATCATTGCAGGCAAAGGAATTCCCATTTTCTTTCAGAGATTGCAAGGACAGATACCTTTCTGGTCTTGGTCTTGGGGTGTTTATATAGGGGAGATAGATTACATGTATCATCTTTGTCACTCTGTATGCATAAGACATCAACATGTACTTTTGATTTTTTTCAGTAGGATATTGTAATAATATAGAAACTTGTGCCTAAAAGGGACCCGCAAAGCTTACTAGTTTTAGTAAGATCCGCCCACTGGTTTTCAAGTTCATTTCTGGTGTTTTATTCGTTGCATGTTCCTCATGTCAGTGGCTAATTATCTGGGATTTCATGCATCAACTTTCATTAATGGGTGTTCTCTTACAAATAATGGTTGCCTTTGAATTTGGCCTCCGGTTGTTCTTTGAATTACGGTCCGTATATAACGGTTACTAGTAGTGGATCTAGAAATGTTTTTAAGGATAAACACATATATATTAATAACATAATTTTTTTTATATTGTATATGAGTGAGTACAAATATGATTTCAAGATGAACACAATTAATAAAAATATATAATTAATGAAAGAAAATTCAAATTTCGGAATAGATATTAACCTACCCTGAATCATACTTGCGTTCGTAACTGACTAATGCATGCATTGCATGGAAGATGAATACCCAACTTCGTGTTTGATCAAGAAAATATAATTCAATTATGACTCCGTCCCTGCCTACACTTCACCACTTGATCTATTTCGCAGTGCATTTTCCTTGGAACGGCAGTCTGTTTTTTAAAACAAAATGGCTATCCAGCTTAGTGTTTGATGAGACCCAAGGGGCTGCTGGGGTCTACCGTACCATTTGGTCCGTTGATAAATTCGCAGATAGATATAATTAAGTTTGGTAAATATATAGCTCCAAAAAATTGATAAATTCATTCGAGCTGAGCCATGTGAGTTCGTTGGTGCGGTGGGGTAGTCTAAGAAGCTCAGACCACATCCGCCACTATAATGACAACACTGTCCCAATTTGGGTCTTCACCCAAACAGAAAGCTACGGCACTTACAATGCATGTCTCCCTAGGTAGACATAGGGATGGCAATGGTCGTTAGATCAAATTTACAGTTAATTTGATCCGACTTAAAAAGCATATATCTTCGTTAGAATACAAATCGACTTAAATTTAAGAGGCTATATTTGATCTGAATATTACGATAGAAAAACTCATATAAATATGATTTTAAGATTTTATTTTTCTTAAACCCATCAAGTGATCTTAGCGGTTGAGGGAAGTATTATTATTCTTAGAGGTTCTGGGTTTGAGAACTATGTCTGGCGGATATATATGAGTTATTAATGATTAAAAAAGATTATGAACAAATATTATTTTATAATCAATTCAGACTTACCTCTAATTATCTCGTTTTTTTAATTTTATCATATTCAATTTCAATTATTTAATTCATTTGTTGAGTAATTAAACTTAAATCTTATCATGGAGTTTATGATTTATAAGGATAATAACATCACCCAACTAAACGATGAATATTTTGATATTAAGTCTAACATAAATAGATTTTCAAAATAATTAATAATCATATCATTAACTTAATCTATTAATCAAATCTTAATTCAATTTGTATTGTCTGGACAAATGACAACAAGGGTAAGAGGAACCTTTACACCCTCAAAGTTGTAAGAAATTTGTGTTTCACACATAATTTTTTTAATTATATTTCTAAATTAATTTAGAAATTATCATGAAGTCTTAAATATTTTGATTTTTTTGTTAAACTCCCTTCAAATCAGGTATGAACTCAAGGGGTTGTTGGTGGTGGTCGCCCCTAAAAATTTCAAATTCCTATGTGTTTTAGACTTTTCCTTTATATTTTTATTGATAATATGTTTTTGACCTTAAAATTTTAGTAGTTATACTCTAAAATTCTGTAAATTCGTCCCCTAACATAAAATTTTATGTCTATCCATACTTCAAATTATTAAAAAAAATCATATTTAAAAAAAAATTAATTAGACCCTCACATTTTTAAAAAGTTTTCATTAAATCCTTCAAATTTATTGAAAATTTTCATTACACCCCACAAATTATATCGCCATGATTCGCCTCTAGACACTGATGTTGTCGTAACGTACAAGAGTTTTATCATCTTCATGGGGGTCTTAGGCAGACCTTTGCTGCTGCTGTTGAACAATCAACAAGAAATAATTGCCAACAAAATCTGAAGATGAAAGCAAGTCTCCAATAATCCCAATTTCTTGAAATTCACACCATTCTCCCAGACCCAAGGTTTGTGGATCTTCATACTTATATCTCCTCCCAACAATGATAAGCTGATAGTTTTCTACAATGGATCGAAGAAATTTTGAAGTTTCAGTTCCATCTTCTACTTGTTCCTCAAGGTACGTTAACTTTACACTTCCTCTGATATCGCATAACATCTCATCATCAAGCACTCCATCGTTCTCAGCCCGAAAGCTGTCTAAGCTGATCTTTGCTTTGAGATGAATTACGGTAAGACTAACACTTTCGTCTAGGGAAATGCGTTTAGCTAAAGCTAGAGCCTCTCTATCATCTTGTCCCCCGATGAATATCACAGCAATGTTTAAGGATGATGGTGATTTATCTTTGATTTTGAGGCCTTTTAGATTGCGGCGTACGTCAACAAGGATCCCTACCGAGCAAGGTGCCATTTCGAGGATGCTGAAATTCAGGTTTCTGATGGTTTGATCTTCCGATTCGGTGCTCCCGTCGATGCACCACCGGTGAAACGGAAGTATTATAAACGATGTGAGTCGGTCCACGGCAAGCTTACATATATCCTCATACATAGAATTCGGTGGTGAGACCGCGGTGAAAACTTTCACCGATACAGCTTCTGAATTGTTTCGCTGAAACTCACTGAAAGCGACAATGACGTTCTCGGAGTACGAGCGGTTCAACATGGTTTTCGTTATCCCGTTATGAGCAATGAAAACCGGTGTGGCTCGTCCACTGAGCTTGACTAGGTGAAGAACATCTAGAGCAATGGAGCTCTCTCTGGTTAGACAGCAGGCATGCAGTAGACTGATAATAGAGTTAACATTACCCGGTACGTGAATACAACCGATCAGCCGCAGCTCCTGATTGAGTTTGGTATTCATGATTGTCCTTTTCTTGAAGCATAAATACTTCTTAGATGGATCATAAAGCCATTTCACTAGTATTGGCACAACGCTTGACACGAAAATGACCATAATCATCAAGAAACAAAACATAACATTCGTCATAACCTGCGATTGTTCAAAGAGAGAACAAAAACAATAAAGCATTAGGCATATCTTTTTAGATATAATGGCAACTTTAGCCCTATGTTCATTATAATCTTCTTTTTAATATTTTAGCTCCAACATCTTATTTTGTAGTAAAAATGATCTCTATTGAATGGAAACTATTAGTTGACTAACGATCAACACATATTGTTGACATAGTATTTTCGTATTTGATAAATTATTGACGTGTCACATACCACATCATCACTTTGAGTGATGTGATATATATTACATCATCACATTAGGTGACGTTAAACATGTCAAACCATCACCTTAGTTGACTTAACACGTCATGTCATCATCTTGGGATGACACGACACATGTCATATACATCGAGTAACTTGACATATGTCACAACCTTAGGTGATTTGGTATATGTCACATTATCATTTTGGGTGACGTGATATATGTCACGTACAACAATTTAGCATATGTGAAAATATTACGTCAACAACATACATTTATCGTTAGTCAACTAATGATTTTCATTCAATAGGAATTATTTTAATAAAAAATTGAATCGTTAATGGTTAAAGTCCTCCAAAAGAAAGAATAATGACTAAAATAACTGTTCAAATAAATATTGAGGGTTAATTTTGACATTATGTAATTTTTTTTATGTCAGTGATCATATCATATATAGAAAAAGATTCATACTCTCATGTCGCTCATGGAGCTGTAGGAAGCAATCTCAACGATGCCTTTGGAAATCATGATAAGAGAAAATGCTACAGAATCCCTTATGGGCATCTCGCAGAACATGGCCAACACCCAAGAGACCCCAAATTTCATAACAAGTGCGACCGCGGCTCCAACTGCATGGTCCTTGGTGAACTGGGTAGGTTCTTTAAGGTTAGATAGATTGCACCTCATGCCGCTTGTTGCAAGGAACACAGGCAAAAATAGTTCCGAAGTAATAGGGTCTAGCTTTTCGACCAGAGCAGAACCCAAAGGTGGTCCTTCCGGTACAACCAAACCAAGCATGATCGGACCATATTTAGCTTGTAAATGAATCAGTCCGGAAAGTCGAGGCGACAACATGAAGACCACAACAACGACATAGAAGCATACATCTTTTATATGGCCAGTCTCGGACGTTTGTTTCTCCATCCATTTCATTGCAGGTCGCAGCACAAACGCTCCAATTACAGTAACAAACATAGCCAATCCAATATGACTTAGAGCCATTTTTGTTCCGTTTATAAACCATACTCTCAACAAAATGCCAAACAACGTCATAACTATTGTCACTATGTCACCTATAAGCGCAGCCGATAATCCTAGCCTACCGAGTTCAGAATTCAGGATTCTCAACTCCGTGAGAAGGTATTGTATGACAGGGAACGAAGTCCCAGCATACGTTGTCGCGAGAAAGAAACTTCTGCCCAAATTCAAATCGCCACCACCTTGAAGTATCGTAATCGTTATCATACAAGAGGCCAGAGGCACAAGCACGGTGAGGATACCAATATACACGGCCTTCATCCCGGAATTGAATATCGAGCTAACGTCAGTCTTCACACCAATTAAAAACAAAAAGAACAGTATGCCGAAATCTCCCACCGTCCCCAAAATTGGAACACTATCCTCCGATATGGTAACCAAAGAAAATTGATCACCAAAAAACGTAGGACCAAGTATTATCCCTGCCTGCATTAACAAAATATGCCGATTGCCGACGACCCTTTCATTATAATCTCCTCAAAATCAGAAGGAAAAAAAAACTAATTTTTACCGTATGAGAGCTTGCACTTACAAGAATCTGGGAAATGAACAATGGAAGTCCCAGGTTTTTTAACAGACTGTGAAGTATCTGCGTGAGAACGAAGATCACAAGCATCTGGAGTTGAAGTCTGGGCCCAGAATAATCCAAGAGCTTTCCATTTCTATCTTTTTCAAGAAGCAATGCAGGCAAGCCTGGAGAGGTGACTTTGGGAGGAAATACAAGACAAACCTCTACCAGTTTTTCCATTTGACCCATTCCATTGCCGTCGATTGTTTTATTGAGACGTGACATGGTTTCCTGCAAGCTGCAAAGATATTGATGGGGATGATGAATGATTTTGTGTTGCTGTGATTGAAGAAACCATGCGAATTTGAATTACCTATATAAAATTAGATTCTCCCATGGTTTGCCAGTTTTATTGTTCTTGATTTCATGCGTAAACAGGTTGTTTTTGTTTCAAACGTAATCCGTTGATACATAGCTGATTATTGTTGCAGAACAACTTAGTCGAAGCTTTTGGTAGCCAATTGAATGGGCCTATTAGAAAATTTGAACAACAATAATTGATAATATGAAGGCTGATTGTTATTAACCAAAGCAAAGTAAATCTAACACTAATATAGTAATAAACACAAGTTACAACATTTTTATAATTTTTATTAATGATTATAATATATTTTCTATTCTATTATTAGATTTTTTAATATAATATTGCTGATTTTCCCAATATTTGATCTTACATATATATATATATATATATATATATATATATATATATGTTGAATCAAAATAGAGTAAAAACTCTAATTGATCAAAAAAAAAAAACTCTCTTTAGAATAATCTCACAAAATTGCAAAAGGGAAGAACTCTTAAGAAAGCTTTCAAATGCTTATAATTAAGCTTTGATTGTTGGATGATAAAACTCAAATACAAGTAGGGTATTTATAGGTTACAAGAAACAATCTAAACCACTCATTAAAATAAACACTAAATAATCTAAACCATTGAAATTAAAACATGAGAAAAATACTTAATTTTCACCTAACTAAATTGATGTAAGCAATGACATCAAAACTAAATTGATGTAAGCAATGACATCAAATTAATTTAGGTGTGAACATATAGGCTAATATTGAATTTTCAACACTCCCCCTCAATGTTAGCCTCCATTCTTTGAATCACGCCATGCTGACGACGGAAATGTTCAAACTTTCAAACACTCAAGCTTTTTGTAAACAAGTCAGCAATTTGCTCATCTGTCTTGATTTGCCTCATCTCAATCTCTTCTTGCAAAACTTTTTCCCTAACAAAGTGGTAATGTACTTCCACATGTTAGTTCTTGCATGAAAGACAGGATTCTCCGCTAGCCGAATTGCCGATTGGTTGTCACAATACAACGGAATTGCATAATCTACTGGTTGATGTAGATTATTCATCAACTGTATCAACCATGTACTCTCTTGAGCTGCCATTGCTGCTGCTCGATACTCAGCTTCAGTGGTTGACAATGATACCGTTGGTTGTCTTTTGCTACACCAAGAAATTGTTCCGGAGCCAAGCTTAAACACATACCCAGTTGTTGATCTCCTGGTGTCATGATCTCCTGCATAATCAGCATCACAATAACCAACTAACTTGCAGTCTTCACCTTTCTTGTACAAAAGACCATAGTCAATTGTATTCTTCACATATCTCAGTATTCGTCGAACTGCTTCCAAATGAGGCTTCTTTGGATTTTGCATATACCGACTCATCACACCAACTGCATAAGAAATGTCAGGTCGGGTCAAGGTTAAGTAGATCAGACTACCTACCAAATGTCGATACATTGTTGCATCTTCCAAATCTTTTCCTTCATGTGCACACATTTTGATATTTGGTTCCATTGGCGTTGAAGTTGACTTGCATTCGAGCATTCCAAACCTCTTCAGCAAATCTTTAGCATATTTCTGTTGACATAGAAATATTCCTTCGTGTGTACGATCAACCTCTAGACCAAGGAAGTGCTTAAGTTGTCCAAGTTCCTTCATCTGGAAACGAACTGATAAATTCTCCTTCGTCTGAAGAATTTCTGCCTCATCATCACTGGTTATGATTAAGTCATCCACGTACACTAGCACGATAGCTAGCTTACCTTCATTGGCTTTGACAAACAAGCTAGAATCTGCAGGTGTTACTGAATAACCAATTTTCGTTAGAAATTCAACAATCTTACCATACCACGCCCTAGGTGCTTGTTTCAATCCGTAGAGTGCTTTTCGCAGCTTACACATATATTCAGGATGATCTTGACTCTGAAAACCCATTGGTTGGGTCATGTAGATCTCTCGATCTAGCTCTCCATGAAGAAAAGCATTCTTTACATCCATCTGCCACAAGTTCCAGTCTTTGTTGTCTGCAAGTGCAAGTAAGACTCGTACGGTTGTAAGTTTCGCCACTGGACTAAATGTTTCATCATAGTCTAATCCATACTGTTGAGAGAAACCACGAGCTACCAATCGCGCTTTGTACCTCTCGATTGACCCATCTGGACGGCGCTTTATCTTGTAAACCCATTTGCAAGATATGGGTTTCACATCTTTTATCTTTGGTACAATATCCCAAGTTTGATTTTGCTGAAGTGCATCGATCTCTTCTTTCATAGCTGTCATCCACTCAGAACTCTTCGATGCTTCTTCGAACGTCTCAGGCTCCGTTGCTTCTTCAATTATGGCTGCATTGGCATATTTGGGATTTGGCCTTCGTATTCTTGTTGACCTTCGAAGTTGAGATTGTGGAATTGATTCTTCTGTTTCACTAGGCCCACCTTCTTCGTTTGGTTGTTGATACACGCCAGTTTGCCACGGATTCTGAGTCACTCTTTGTTCGACATCATCGCCATTTGGATCTTCTGATTCATCTGAACTTGTTTGAAGTTGAACATCATGCTCCCCCATCTTTTGTTGTAGTTTGTCTCCAAATTCTCTCGAATCTGGCAACACCTCCTTCTCTGAGGACCACCAAGAAGATGCTTCATCAAATACCACATTTCGTGACGTGTAGCATCTTCCACTAATTGGATCACAACATTTCCACCCCTTTCTCTGGCTGTCATATCCCACAAAGATACATCTAACAGCTTTCTTGTCAAATTTGCTCCGTAAATGATCAGGAACAAACACATAACATACACAGCCAAATACTCGAAAGTAGCTAACTGTAGGTTTTATGTTCCATAGTTTCTCAAAGGGTGAAACAAATCCTAACCTTGGTTGAGGAAGTCTGTTGATCACAAAGGCTGCAGTCCTCATTGCTTCAGCCCAAAACCTTCCAGATACGTTCTTTGCATGTAGCATACTTCGACAAATTTCTGCAAGATGCCGGTTTTTTCTTTCCGCTACACCATTCTGTTGTGGCGTGTTGGCACAAGTGTACTGATGACGTATTCGACATTCCCTTAGGTATTGAGAGAACTCGTTTGATCTATATTCTCCTCCGTTGTCTGTGCGCAAGCAGCATATCTTCTTTCCCACTTCTCCTTCAGCTGAGTCTCTGAACTCTTTAAACTTTGAGAAAGTATCAGATTTTTCTTTCATAAAGAAAACCCACACATACCTGGAGAAGTCATCAATGAATGTTACCATGTACCGCATACCGCTAATTGACTATTGCTTAACCGGTCCGAACACATCAGAGTGAACCAACTCCAAAGGTTCTTTTGCTTTAAAC